GTCTCATGATGATTAAGGTCTTTATGCTTTTGGGTTTGGCTTTTTTTTGGTAACACGATAAAGAAAAGGTTTTCCTATAGACACAAAGACATGTAAACTATGACAGCACAGTGCTTCCCAAGCAAAGGAAAAAGAAAAAAAACAACTTTGAAAGAAATTAAACAGTCTGAACCATGGAAAAGTCAGATGGATAGAGCATTCCTAGAAAATCACTTTATCTACAGAGTTGTCTGAAGTAAAGAAAGAATGGAGTGACTTTACTGAAATGAAACTGACCACTGTGAGGCTGCTGCATTATATGCAAGGCTTGGAGGAGTATAAGAAAAAAGTTGTTTTGGAAAAGATTATACATTTTCTCATTTTGTGTTGTTGGTTTTGCCTTTTTTTTTTTTTTTTTTTTTTCCCCATAATTAAAGCTGCAGCTTATCCTAGAAAATTCAATCTTCTCTGGAAATATTGTTTTCAATTAAAAAGTAATTGTGTTTTCTCATGAAAAGATTGTCTTGAACTTTAAAAAATAGAGTAATAATTTCCAAATAAATTCTGAGTAATTTGCAAATCATTTTGTATTTGTGTTATTGTTAACTCCTCTCCATGTGTACTGATTTAAACAGTGATGAGGGTTGTTTGAAAGGTCTCTTTAAGCTTTGATTAAACCACTTTATAGTTTTGCAATTTCATATATGTTCCAAGATTTTTCTTGCAATGGATTTAGCTGTGCAGAACATATGGCATTTATAAAAGTAGACAACACATGGACCACATGCTGGCATTCATTTCCCTCATGAAAGTGATTTAATTCTATAATTTTAATTCTTTTTTTCTTCTGCTAAACAGATACCAAAATATATCTGATAATCCAAAATGAGTTTTCTATGATATACTGCAGAGTTAAGCATGCTAGAATATATTCAAATTGGCTTGATGAGGCAAATTTTGTTGCCCATGATCAGGTAATTCATTTGAAATCTTTCCTTAGCCTGTAGCAAGATTACTGTGGGAATGTAAAAATACAAGTAAATTGTTAAGCATTTCTGCTTGACACTGCTTTGGTTTTAAACAGCAAATTATTTCAGCATTGCATAACTTCTGTTACCAATAGGGTTTGCTACAGACCTCATGTTGTTTCCCAAAAAGCAGTATGCAAGTACTTTTTGAATGTGGAAACATTTCATTTGCAAATTGTGAACCACTTGCCCGCTGAGTCTACTTCATGACCGCTAGTTATGTTTTAATTGTGCCCATTAAAAATCATGCTGAAAAAATTTACATTTGATAGGCAAAGTTAAGTTTTACTCCCATACTTGTCTCTCTGTAGGTTGCTAGAGGAAAGCATAAGGAAAGTAAGAAAACAAGAGAATGAAAATAGAAACTACAGTTCAGTTAAAAAGGAATCTTGAAATAAAAACTGGAAACAAGGTTTTATGAGCTCTTTATCAAAGATTTTTCATTTCAGTTATACTAAAGTGATCTCATGACTCATCAAACAGTAACCGCTAGATATTAACTGATGAATTGCACTGCAGTTAAAAAAAGCAACTAGATAACATAACAAAATGTTAGGTAAGTGATGACACCCTTGATTCCTACAGAACTAAACTGTTCTAACTGTTAATTCTCAAGATTTTCCTACAGAAAAATGATCTACCATAAAGCTGCACTATACTATAGTTTGGATCTGTTTGACGCTGGATACAATTTTCTACACTGGGGGTATCCAAAGGTGTCAAGATGCCTTGCGCTGCTTTAGTATCTAATCCATTCTGTAAGCAGGTTTTTCTCAACAAGCTTTAGAGTCAACCTTATATTGCATAGACATGATACCTCTAAGTGATATATATCTTGAAGATGGGCTCTCGGACCATGTGGTGTCAGTCCTGTAATAGTATATTAAGATTTATGCCACCTGTGTTAAAAACATGGATAATTATTGGTAAATACTGTTATGGCAAAGGCATTACTATAATATAGTGCAGTTTTACAAGCTGACATTGGCATTACTGTATTTCTCAAACAGAAATTCAGAATGTATGGCTAGGGTATTGCAACTTGAGTTTCTATCTAGAGAAAAGAAGGGATTTGGAGCGAGCCAAGAACAACAGTTTTATTCAGGAAGTATAAGCACACCTGGTGAGTTAAACACAGGAGCTGAAGGGGCATTACATACAACTGTTTCAGCGAGCAAAGTGTTATAGGGGTTGTTAGTGCCGTGTGGTCGAAGAAGAGGGTTTGTTAGTAGGTAATTGCCAGTCATTCCTAAAGCAAAAGAAACAGAAAAAAATGTCAGTTCTTTAATTTTAGGCTGACAGTTTCAATAAAGAATATTTTTTATTCATCATGAATCATGTAGGACTTGTCAAATGTAATTCAGCTGAAAATTTCTGTATGTATTTGAGCTATGTATTTGAAATGGGAGCAGGAAAATAGTTAGATTCCAGTAATTCACAGGTGCTGTCCAAATCCCCAAAGTAAACATCTGGTGAGAGTGACATTTACTAATGTATACAAAATCACTGTTACACAAGAATAGCCATTAAATGTGTTGAGATCAAGGTAGAACATAAAGCTATTATAACTTTAAAAATGATCTTATAGAACACTTCTGCCCTGAATTGAGAACTGAATTTCTTGAATTGAAAGGTATTGAAAAATCTCTTATGACAGGATCAGAGCTGTTATTCACTTTATTAAAAACACACAGATAGTGGAAAGGAATTGCTGTTTCCAAACAGACAGTGGATGACAAACTGAAAGAAGCATATCTTAGTATATGCAAAAGTATGCATGCTGAGGGGAAAGCAAAATATTTGCTCTAAGAAATCAGAGCATTCACATTTTCTCCCGGGACATTCATGCTGCAAATTTATCTGCCAGATTTTGAAAAAGAATTCCTCGAATGACAGATTTTCTTTAAACAATCAGTTTACAAACAGTGTAAGATGAAACAAAATACTACACGAACAGATCTTTTTAAACCCATTTTATATGCTAATGCAACACCATTTAAACAACTCTCAGAATAATTAGACAAAAAAATATCAGCATATTTTGAGAAATTATTAAAAAAATCAATTAATATCTGATTTCTAGCTACTAAAAGAAAACAGGGTTGGAATAATGACAACCCCCCACCCACAAAATGCTGTGATTTTAAACTTACTTTAAGCCTATCATTAAGGTAAAATTCCACTTTCTTTGCTATTTCATTGCACAGTAGTATATCAGGACCAGTGTATTACAGATCCAAGGACAACTAAAGAGCCAGCTATATTTCTATAGTATGGATATTTATATCTGGCAATGAAAAGTTAGTATATATTCCAAATATTAATGCTTTTGTACCACCATAGATACTTGGTAGAAGAAATGAGCAGAAAATCCTAAGATTCAGAAAATTATTGCCCGATTATGCTACTCTTATTTGAAAGTTTGTATCAGTGAACAACTGAAAAGGTTCCATCATAGCTTTTTTCAGTTGTAATGTACTTATTACTAGAAACACTAATTGAGACGTATTTTTATTGAGTTTTTCTTTTGGTTTTGTGTACTATGTTTAATCTTGGTTAGAATTATTACCTGTAATTTATAAAGAGATTTTTTTTTTTTAATTAAATTTTTTGCCACCTTTAAAAGCGTGATTTTTATTTTAAAGGAAGAACGACACGCCACTAAGTACTAAACTACCCTTACACATATGTATCACTGAGATACTGGAGATATTATAATTGAATAAAGATTGTCTCAATTTTTCTATCATGGCAGAACATCTCCAGTGACTTGAGACTGGAGTTCCAAAACAGGGAGATGCTTCCAAGACCTTTGTTCAAGTCTGAATTAACTGAGGGTGCAGCATGGTTAGAGCAAACCTCAGGAGTCAGAGACGTCAAAGTCGGGAGAAATCCCAGACTTTTATCTCTAGTGTATTTACAGGATTTTTATTAAGACACTAGAAGGGAATGTACTTCTTTCTTGGGCATGAAAAATATGTATTTTCTACTTCGGGGAAGTTACTTATTTTCATTTTGCCAGAGGAATATAAAAGATACAGGTGGGGGAGCAGTGAGACACACAGGTCTTACCCACTTTTTATACGCCAAATAGCAAAACCAGAATCATGCTTTCTGAAGTATTTTCTTTTGCAAATACCACATTTTTTACTTCTAAAATGAATGTGAGTCAGGTACATGTCCCTGCTATCAAACCTTGAAAAAAAACAATGGAGGAAAATTTGCTAGCTATGGTTGATGAGGGCTTTACAGCAGCCCTGACAATGGCGAATTTTCTGTTTGAAACTTTCTGAGCTAAGAAACTGTTCACAATGAGATTAGGCTATGTGTTCTTCTCCTAGGAACATGGGTGGAAGAACAGGCTTTGAACTCAGTTTGCACAGAGTACTCTTCCCTCTACTGATAGATCAAACTGCCATAAAAAAACACAAGGGGAAGGAGCGAAAGGAAGGGACATTCTTGTCTTCTAACTGGACATGAGAACGAGGTTACAGATTTCAAAGTCTATTTGAGCTGAAAAATTTGGAGGTTTGGTTTCTCTGTGCTTGAAAATCTGGATTCTATCCCATGTGACAGATATGATGCTCTTTGAAACAGAAAAGATAAATGCTTTACAGACACCTTTTGCATAGAAATGATATCAATTAGATTTCACTGGGAAAATTTCTGAACCTAAAAATCATAGTCAAATATGCATTAAAATGTTACTGCACTCATATTTCTGTTTCAGATTTAACCTATAAAGGTTAGGAACGATTTAAAATTATGATCTTGCTTTTAAGTTAAATTATTGATGAAACTTATTTAAATACATTCCCACGAATGGAGGAATTCAACTTCTATAGCAGGGGCCCAGTTGAGGGAACATGGTTTTAAAATGTGCTGGTGGATGACTTTAAAACTCTGCTTTTAGTTCCAGATTTTTTTTTTTTCCAAAACACTCTTTTCAATTCTCTGCGTTAAATGGTAGAAAATCTGTATAAAATTTAAGGCTTCTGAAACTGAAATGTTCCCAGTGACTGACCTTGATTAAGTGTTGAAGTGCTGTTGATGTCACCTGAGATAAAAGATGATTCAGATTGTTTTCTCACAGTGTCATTCCACATCCTCCTTATACGACTCTGTTAACATAAAGCAGTGAAATAGAAGCACATTAAGTTACAAAAAGATTTTTTCCTAACATGCTATTATATAGAATATTTGTGTTTATTTTGGCCTAAAGTAAGCCATTCTTCTAGCATGTAGTGAAACTCCTTCTTTTGTTATTAAAACTCTAATTTATTAAATTTCATTTAGATGAAACATGATGGTATAAACCTTCCTATAAACCAGCCCCTAATTAACAAGAAAAATAAGGTGTTTGCATTAGACTGAAGTAAAAGGAAATCAAAGAAGAAGAAATCAAATCTACTATGCCAAGGTATATATTTGCCATCTAAATGATAATAATGAGAAGACAATTAGTGCTTCTGATTGGAATATATCTCAGTAGGCTTTTTATAAATAAGGTTAATTAAAAGATGCTGTCAAAATCTTTGTTACCTGAGTGCCAGAGGAATAGCGAGCACTAGTTCTTGTCGTTGATGCCTTCACTGAACTGTGGGGACTCTCAGTTGGTAGTCCACCACAGCAGTAGGAATGTCGGAAGCATTTGCCGTATTCCTTACGTACCTACAGGGAAAAAAAAAAATATTTAGCACAAAAAAGCGTGTTAACTATCTCCACTGGCAAAACCACATGAACCTTGCACTGAAACTACTCACACAATTTTCAAGCAAATAGATAGTTCCTGTCTGTTGAATTGGTGGTCATTAATCAAAATCAAGTAGTTTTCCCTACTTAGCTGCAGTGTTCTCAGCTATCCAGGACTTTTGAACAAATTATTTCCAAAGTATACATGCACTTCATTTAGATGTGCCAGAATACTCATTACTGAGTTATGTATGGGATTATTTTTACTTCATCTTCATACTGTAGGCTGATATAGTTAAATTTACCTGAACTGATTTCTGGCTGAAAATAGTCCTTTTTATATGAGCTTTGGTGCAGAAAACCATAGAAGGCATGTCTCCCACCACAGCATGCAAGAAGGGCTGAGGTAACCAGCCTTTGGGCTACTCGGTACTGCCCATTATGCTATCCCTTCCAAGAAACTGTGCAAAACCTGCAATGACTATAAAGGCATTTTCATATAAAGTTACTCTGTGTAACTCAAACAGCTGCCAGTTCATATGGTCACCCTGCTTAGGGATTGCACAAAGCTCACAAATGCCATTGCCCCATGACAGGCAGAGCACTAGCTATGCTGGTAAAGGCACCATCTGTGTTCTAGAGTCAAATTTCATACTCTAAAGGCTGGGAAATGAAGCATCTTTCACTTTTAGGACCAAAAATAAAATCCTCATTACCGTCTTTGTTGAACCCAGAAATCTGAATATACCTATGTATATGAGACTTTTGTCTGACAGAGCAACAAAACCAATTAATGATTCCAGTATTTGGCCTGTGTTTATTCACCTTCTGTTTCCAGTGATGTACTAGAAACTTTAGTTTTGTAATTTATGTGTGTTAACACTTGTCATGAAAGTAATCAGGTTTAATTTACAGAGCAGTTAATTCTCTCCTATTTGGTGACTGCTACACTGACTACTTTTTTCACATAATAGAATAGTGTGTATAGACATCTCGGCAGCATGACAGCATCAGTGAAATGATAGAATTTGTGAATCTTCCACTAGATACTTGGGAATCTACGTGTCTCTTCTACTTCAGTGAGACTTCTAAGTTTCTGGGAAAAGTAGGATTTCAGCTAATTGGAAATTCTGTTTGACCTATGAATATATAGGAAAGAAAGTTATGTTTGTGTAAAAAGGGGAGAGGAGTTAAAAAGTTAGTAGTGTGGATTTACATAGGCCATGTGCTGTTTTCAATATTCTAAGAATTTTACTTATGGAATACATACTGTGGTGTTTCTATAAACCACAAGGGTTGAAGAAAATTTGAGTAGTTAGTGCCTTAACTTCAAGCTAGGGACAATAACTCATCTTTTCATAAAAGTATATGGTACATATTTTAAGGGAACCCCTATTTATATCAGCATAAAAGACACATAAAAAAATGAAAACAGAAATGCACAGCCATAGAATGATAATCTTTAACTCTGCAGTCTGAAAAACATAAGTCTATATATATCATCACTAGATGGTATAACACCTAAGAAAATACATTCCTGAACACTAATGGATATTAAATGCTCCAAACCGCTACATAGCAGAGACAATAGCAATCAAAACTGTATTTTTACCCAAATACCACCCTCCAGGGCTGGTTTTGCCTAATGCCTATATTGCAGTGAATGTACATTATCTGTCAGCACTGCGCATTCCACTGTCATTATTTCTAAATTATAGCTTGTTGGAAACTGATGGAAGCAACAGCACTATCATCTTGTCAGAACTGGAAACATAATAGTTTTCACTTTCACAATTCTATTTCTCTGTTCAATTTAGTGACCAACTAGTAATAACAGAATAAAAAGACTACATTAGCTATGCAGACAGAGGAGAGGATGATATCCAGTCAAAGGCATCGAAACTTAAAAATCTTAAATGGCAGCTTTAACATTCTTTCAGGTATAAATCTTATTGCTCTAGGTTATGCTTTTTCACACTTGACTGATATTTTAATATTGCTTTTTGCTGACTCCACTTAATATAAAAACAATGCACAGCTGTAAAAAGAAATAAAAAAGGAATCTGTTTTTGATTTTCAAGTCCAATACAAGTGGTAGAAAGGGCAACATTATATGAAACCCTAATCTAGAAATTATTTGCATTTTGATAATGTTTGCATTTTCTTCCCTCTCTTCTTTTCTTAGGCTTAATCTCCTCTCTAAGTGTGCTTTTGTTCTCTCAATATGAGAGGAGTGCTGTGTTCATCTGGATAAAATTCTTTCTGTCTACCAGATCTTTTCCTAAAACATGGCTGAATGCCATCGTCTACACCAAATTTAGAGACGCTTACACTGTTATAGCTGTTACAGCTGAGAACACGTAAGAATGCGGTTTTTGTACTTACACAGCGACGCTTTATCCAATGGTCTCAAACCATTTTATAAATATCGGTTAATTATGCCTCTGGTGAGCTAATTATAACAGGAGTTAATAATTATTAGGTCTCCAGCCTGAAACTGGTACAAATATTTAGAATCTAAATATTGCAAATTGGGTATTTCCAAATGTAGGGTGCATTGCATTTTGAGGTTTTTGGGTGGAATTTTTTGACTTTTACCCTTCCTCTCAACTCTCGCTACTTTTATTTGCCATGTCTTCTAACACACGCTACGAGCTTTTTTCTTTTGTGCACTAAAGCACCTCTAAGGCATCCTTGGAAGCAGTCTCTATCCTCACTCTGAGGAAGACAGGGGGTGCAGGGAACCCAGAGAATCCCACCCAGCTGTGCCCTTGATTTTCTTCTCTCCTGCTTGCTTCTCTCTCCCCTGCTAACTTTTCCCCTGCAGATCTGCTCCTCCTGGACCTCTCTGCTCCCATCGGGTAAAGGGAAGCCAAAATAATTTAGCACATCCTACTCACGAGGGAAGGATCTTGCCAGGGGATTCTAGCTTTTCCAGTTAAGAGCATGAAGCTGTTGAATTGCTTGAAAAAATGTAGTCATGCTGGCATCTTTGGAAAACTCTCCCTGTTAGCAGTTGTCTAGTGTTAATGACTACTTTTTTCTATGGTGTGTCGAAGTTCATAATAAAATTAATTTTTACATCTCACTTAATTTTGTAACGAACAAGCACTATAGTACAATCCCTGCTTATCACCCATAGCTTTATGTGGCAGCTTAATGGGATCTCAGGAGAGGTCCTCTGCCTTGATCTGAGAGAGTTTCCAGGCTTAGATGGGCTGATATTGTAAATGATCCTGTTTGTAGTGCTGCAGCAGAGGCAGGATTTGTTTCATACACTTATATATTAGTCTGGCTGTAAGTCCAGACTAATATATACCATTACCAATGTTAAACAGTACATTTTCTATAGTAATCTTCTTCCCAAAGCCTCAAAACTTTTCAAGCTGAGGTTGGAAATGCTACATCCATTTTAAACCCGCCCAGGCCACAGAGCAGTTACGTGACTCCCACAAGCACACAAGCAAGAACAGCTTTTGAATCCTAGTGCCCTCCTCAGATGACTTCGAAATACTCTAGTTCTTGCCACTGCTATCTTTTAAGTAATAAATGTGATAATTTTAAAGAGTTGGGGAACACGCATCTGTATTTTCAGTAACTTACTTTCTTTTGAAGGGCACAATGAAAGATGAAAATAAACATTCCTTGGAAAGCATTAAATACTGTGAAGAGATATGTCATCACAACAGTCCCCTCATTGATAAACAGCAGGCCAAATGACCATGTTAGGCCAAGAAGACACAGGAGAGCAAATGCACCCAGGACCCAGGATCTGTAAAATAAAATTAATTTTAGTAACATTACTTATGAGAATGCATGTCGCCAAATCCATATTAACATTTCAGTTTCTGCTGTTGACTCTTACTAGGTTCAAATTCAAATGTAAAAATTCCTTGGGTTTAACCTTTTATCTATTAAAGAAAGAACAGTTCCATTTAGTACTCTTAGTCTCCACTGAAAACAGCAAAAGTAGATATAACCTTTTTCTTTCTCAAGAACTGCATAGGATGTCAAAACTATTTTGAAATGCAGAAATATAGTGCAAGCCCCAGCTACTCCATTGTTTTATCTGCTTTTAGAAAAGAAATTGATAAATTTGGCTTAGCCACTAATCACACCATAGATTTTAAACAGTGGTTCTGCCATACGACACCAAATAATGTAACACAAATGCACAAAGGTTAAACAGCAGATTAAAAGGCTAGAGCCCAAATCTTTAATGCTCCGATAAACGCAGCTAAACTGAAGCTAGATGGTCTAACTTCCGCATGACGAAACCCTGCTGAAATGTGACAAAAATATGGATATTTCTCTACTGAATAGTCTAAAAAAGATTCCATCATGAACAGGTTAAGGAAAAGGAATTGTAGAGAACGGCACAGAATGAAAGGGAAAGGGAATTTAGTCAGTGAATTCCACATCTAACTAATGATCTTACTTGATAAATGGCTTATTATCTTCATAGCTAGAAAGCATTATAAGCAGAAAAGAGAAACAAAATTATTAGACAGAATTGAAACAGAAATTAATAAGAGCATTTTAATTGTCTATAAAAATTAGTCAAAATTAGGAAATTCAAAATGCAGAGGCAAGCAATTTAAAATTATAAAGGCATATAATAGTTAAAAATTCTTTAGCAAATCAGGTATCTCAAAACTAGTTAATTAAAATTAAGGGAAATCCACAATATTGACCGAGTTTGTAAAGTTAAAAATCATGCTAGAAATTTGTTAATGTAGGGTTCTATCTTACCCAGGTAAGTCCGTATTATAGTAGCCATCACAAACACGGTAATTACTGGTGTGGATGAGAAGACAGAAAGAGGAAAAGGAAGAAAAGAGAGAGATGCTAAAGATTAGCTCTCTCTCTCATCATGCAACATGCAATGAAGCTGATACTGACCTATCTAGAACATCTAGTTCATATGTTAGCCTTACTGAAAATGTCCCTTTGTAATTTTCAACATTCAAAGCAAATCTGTAAGACCCTTTCACATCCAACCCTCAGTGCTAGAAAACTGCACCATCCCTTTAGTGCTGATAAAAAAACCCCTTCAGTGTAACATAAAGCTATACAGAATACAGTAAAAGACTATCAAAAGAAGCAAGAGCTTCCAAAGCCTTGTTAATTGTGTAATGCTTATATTACTCTGCAAAAGGGATACTACAGTATAGCACCATGATAAAGTAAACATTTGTTAAATTAGCATGAAAACAGCAGATAATCTTCAAGTTAACAATAATAATAGAGTCAATTCTCTCGGGAGAACAGGATTACGAGTAGAAACAGCTCAGAATCCCTAAATCAAAAAGTCATTTAACAAAACAAACTTAATATAATCATATCAGCCATGCAAACAGGAACATCATTTTTGAATTGCATTTTAAATGCAAATGAAATTACTACAGTGCTGTGGCATTTCCGTGAAACAGTTTCTTGGCACTAGTTCCAGGCTGAAATTATCTAATTTTGACCGGCGTTTGTGACATTACAGCAACAATGTGACGAAAGCAGGATTGGCTCTGTTTGCTTCTAATTGACATCTGCAGTTGCTGGGAGACAATGGCATGTGCTCCTAATGGAGAGTAGCTTTCAATCAGTTTAGCAATCAGAAAATAATCATAGTTCTCATACTTGAACACAAAGCACTTACTTAATGTTTTCCAACCTGCTAGAGTCTGGTTTCAAAGTGTTTGAGTGCTTCACCATTTTGCACAATGTGATCACCAGGAAGATAAGATTCAGCTGTCAAAACAGGCAAGAATGAAATTAAACTACTTCAAGTAATAGGTTGAATAATGATGATGTTACAGACTAAACAAAAAACTCATAGTTTATTTTCAAATATGAAGTGAAACTAGGTAACTAGATCAGACAGTCTTTAAAAGGTGATTGCAAATACATATGAGGGGAAAAAAATATGTTAGAAGTCCTTGTTTCACTTAAGTTTTCCAAATTCACCACATCTTCATAAACCGCCATATTTAGCTCACGTCTGGTGCCTGTCATTGTCAGTCTCTGTCTTCCAGCATGTTGTGCTCAGTCCCTGTTCACCTTTGTCTGTCACTTCTAGTCCTGTTCCCCACCTCACCGACCTTCTCCAAGGACTATGGTTACCGCTCTACTATACTAGTTGTCTTTTTATCACCCCATTCTGCATTTGGAATGTTTTTTGCCTTTGCTGGTTTCTCCCTTTCTTTTTTTTTTTTATTCTCACAAATCCCACTGGGGTCTTGAAAACAGCTTAAATGTAACTAAAGAAAAAGAAAAAGAAACACAAAGATGTAGCAAATGCATCAAATTTAACAGTGCCATGGACATATGCTGGTGGTATACCTTCCTACTGCCCTCTTTCCCTTCGTAGTCTGGATTCTGTTGAAGCGAGTCTGTATGACACTTGAAGGAAAGGACTATGGGGTCTTATTCTTGTGTCATTTATATAAATAACACTGAGGAAGATACTGAAGGTAATTTTTTATAGTTTTCCCACTGTGAAACAGAATCACAGGTATCAAAGATACTAGGTGCCTTTTTCCTGTTGATTTCAAAGCATGTTAAGAGAATAAGTAAGCCAAATAGGAGGATGCCTGAAGAATATGGGATGAAAAGTGGTATACGTTTAATATGAGTAATTAGTACATGATGTCCTATATCATGTGGACAATTCAAATAAAATGTTTAAAAACATATGAGCTATGTTCTTTCAGGGAGAAGACATATACCCTTATCTACTACTGGAGTGGTCCACAAGAAATGGCTGAGCCAATAGCTAAGAGAAAATAGGAGAATATGCTTGGACACCCTTACAGGTAGATTATAAGCCCATTCTTACAATCTTCTGTTATATATCTGCAACTCGTTACTGATGGAGAATGATCAAGACCAATCCCTCACTTTGGAGAGCCTTTGGTTTAATGCAGCATCAAAATCCTCACAATTTTTGTAACATTGGGGATACCATTTCATAGCAGATGTGTTCCTACAGCTGTGCAACAATGTTCAGAAATGTCACTCAAATCCTAATCAGGAGCAGGTTTTAACAACCTTGAAAAGGTAAGTATTTTGAAGGTTCTGATCAGAGTCTGTTAATAAAGACATGTATTATAGAAATAATTCCTACTGCTAAGGGCAATCAAGTTACCACTGCTGCTGCTGTCTCAAAATCAGGATGGACAGGATGAACTATAATGCAGTTCTCAACACCAGAAGTGTTTGGCAGCTTTTGACCTCATCAGTCCCAATTCAAAATAAAACATTTTTACAATTTTATCTTGGGATTAATGCAAAAATTCCATGTGATACAAATAACAAAAATAAGCTTTTATAATTTATTTCTGTCTGTGTTTCAAGAATTGACAGGAAATACTTGACCTTTAAGTGGAGGTATGTACATGGTGTAGGTTAAGCATGATTTCCATTGCTGCAAAATGTAATCGAGGTGTTAGTATCTCATGACCCTGCTGATTACCTTTTATGATTCTCATAGGTAATGACTAACCAGTTGAGAAACACTTCATTATATCATTGTGATCATTTTGTTCCTCTTATCTAGGTTTCCACTATACTGTGTAAGTTCCATGGGTGAGAAAACAAAGTTGGTTCTTTCCCTAGCCTTTGCACCAGACAGAGGATGGGGGCTCTTAGTGTGACCTGACCTTAGTTCTATGCCTTTGCAGGCAGACTTTCTTCTTCTATATTTGAGTAAGTTTCTTGCACATTTTGGTAGATGATATAACATACACTCCTCCATCATGCTTAAAAAGATCAATGTACTTTTTATTAAAATGAACAGATTAAGAGCTAAGAGATGCCCCATGCCAATCCTAACATGTAAATCAACTTTGGCTGCAACCTATGAAACCGGGAGTGCACAATCCAGTTCAGAATAGTATTTACAGAACAGCTGGAAGCTAATCCTTGCCTAAGTAGCTACCCTGGAGTATCCTGTACTGTACTAGCAACATCGTTCTTGGATCAAAAACTCATAGATATGGCTTAGCCCATAAATGACTACCTTATGAAATGAAAGGTTTTTATCCTCTGATTCTTTGTACAACTGAAGTGCTGGTTTAACAGATGAAAAACAAAAGCTTGTATTTACATACCGAGGTTCCTTTGGTGACATGCAAACAGACACAGCCCTACCCTAGAGCCTAAGCCAAGCTCCAGCGTATTAAGCAGGTTTTATGCAGATGCTCAGCTCTGTCTGTATATGTCCTTGCTGGACTAGGGAATAACTATACATAGCAGTTTCTTAATAGACATTTTAATTCTAATTTAGGTACAGACTCCCAGAGGCAGCCCACAGAAACAGTAACACTGTATCACAGTAGCTGAAAATGTCTTTCCAAGAAAAAAAGCAAAAAAGCAAAATATTGTACTTTGAAGACAAAGTAACTATGACAACAGAACATATGATACTTGTTTCTCCATCGCTGTGAAATATTGCATAGTTTTCAGTTTCAGCAGTCAAAAGACAATGGTTTGCCACTTGTTCAAACATGCTGGCATCTCTGTCACACACTGTATCATTATCAAAAGCCTATTTTGCCCGCTTACAAATACGGTAACCAAACCTTTCTATAGATTCACTTTTGGCTCCCTTATTGCTTTTCATCTAGAAATTGATTGTTTTGGAGGAACTCATGAGTTAAAGACTTTTGGGCATCCTGCCATTTTATTAGACACGACACTAAGCAGTGAGGGAAGGGAACTTGTTGGAGAATAATTGCTTTTAGAAGGAATGGCTGAATTACTTTTCTTGGTGAGAAATATATGGGAGGAGAAGGAAACACACAGAGCTTTTACATTTATTTTTATCAACTTTGTATGAGAAAAGCTTTTTCAGCCCTGAGAAACCATGTCTGAGCTCAGAGCTGAGCCTGCTTTGAGCAGAAGGTTGGGCCACAGATCTTCTGAAGTTCCTTCCAGCCCGAATTGTTTCATGACTGTGTGAGGACTGAACTGTTACTGATCTAAGCAAATGAATCTGTAGATGTTTTCGAAGTTTGACAGATGGTCTGAGTAGGAACTTTCTTCAAGAAGAATGTTCACCACAAACATGCAGTACTCTGGGGCCACACAAAGGCCCACGTGACTGGCAAGATGGGCTTTTGAAAGCAAACTTGTAAGACAAAAAATGGGCCAATGACAGTGATGACTTTCTCATCACTTCATTTAACATAAAGGGCTAATGACTGGCTAGGCCTCATCCTGACCACTGGGTTGCATCTATCTCAGATGAACCAAAATCTGCACCTGAATGTACCCCTCTCCTCATGTAAACACACACACAGCCACAGTGTATACATCTCAAACAATCGTAAAATAAATACCCTTGATAAAATCAGCAAAATCTCTTTCATGCTGCACGTCCAAAAATCAGACCCACACTCTTTCAAAAGCTAAAAATAAGAATTTAAAAGTCTGGTCAGGCATCAGGTTCAGGTTTGAAGATTCTGCTGATACCAAGAGTGACAAAGCTCCAGTAGGAGGAGCTATGACGTGAGATCTCTGAAAAGTCGAAAACAATAAGTGAAAACCTGGATTGATAGAATTTCATTAATGTTTATATCAGGTTTCTGCTGTAATTTCTAAAACATGTTATCCACTATAAGAGACAGGATACCGGATTACATAGAGAACAAGCTTATACTCTGATTTTAGATGTGCATGTAAAATTTAAAAAAAAAAAAAAAAAAAATTGGAGCACCTTAAAAAAAATTAGAGCACCTTTTAAAATAACAATTCCTACTTATGTCTTAATATGTGAAGTGTAACTGGATAGAAGGGAGCAAAAGAAAGAAAATTAGATATATATTAAAAAATAAAAATAAACTATAATAAAATATAAAATGTGAAGAATTTTTATGGTAATAATCCACTGCAGCACCCTGGAAGATCATGCTTCTTTCATAGTGAACACAAAGAGGGCCATTTCTGGTTTGGAAATCAAAAGGTAATGGACATCAAAAATGGTATAAATAGAAATTTTGTCTTTCTGGCACCTGAAACCCATGTGATTTTGAGAGAAGGAGTGTATTCAAGTCAAATTAACCTCTTAAAAAAGTATATGTAATAACCTGCAGGAGACTTAACGGATTGGCATTAGTTGGAGGTACAATAAATGAGTAGCCAAATAAAGCCAGATTTTGCAATAATTATTATAAATTTCCCCCTGTGAGCAATAGATAAATACCATTTACCAAGTGCCTACTGTAGAATGTTATACATGTATTATTTATATACATAAGCTTACAAATACAGTCCATTTACATACGCGGAGCTAGAACTTGTGTGCATGTATGTATACATCTGTGACTTTGGTGAAGTAATGCTTCGACCTGACTGAAAAAAGAAACTATCTTTCCTATGTTAATGAAACATGTCAATGCTTAAACATTACACTTATGCTTCCTATGTTAATGCTTAAACAACCTTTGGTTGCCTAATACATTGGCTCCACTTGCAAGGAGAAAACTCCAGTAGTTTTGGCTGAATTAATGTCACACCAACATCATCCATTCTTTGGATATGAATGAATATGGATCTACATAGAAGTCAAAATACTCAGGCTTTTCTGACCACAGATTACAAGAGTGCACTGTTTGTTTTATAGCCATGAACCTGCTCAATTGAATCACGTCTGCCTGAGCTTAGCAGCTTAAAATTCATTCCACACAGCCTGCAGTGCTGACATGGATATGATAAGACAGAAGAACAGAAACACCACTCTGAAGTAACCTAGCTGAACTGCACATGTTCTGACCCTTTTTCAACTCCCCGGAGCTTTTGTTACCTGGCAAATGCAGCTCTAAAACTGCTTTTGTATCTCCAGATCTTTGCTCTTAGCCATGCAGAAGCCTATTTCTCTCTGGGACTGGCAGCAAGAGAGGTGCTCTCTGAAGATGGCTTCTAAATGAGTGTGCACACTGAACTCTTACTGAACTGAATTAATTATTAAAGATGCAGATGGAGCTGTCCAAATGATAAGAACAGCTCCTGACGTATCATGATCCAAGCTTTCATTAAACCATTTCAGGCATACTAATGGTTTCCCACCGCTCATTACTTACATGCTCTTTTCTCATAGATATAATAACGCTGGTGCCCAAAGGCATGACAGGCTATGGAAACAGTGAAGTTGAAAAGGTTCTTAGAATATGTACTAAGGAACTTCATACTTCCCTCCCTCATTTTGTGCAAATCTGTATACAGGTGCAAGTGCAAATGCTTAGAAACTCAGAGAAAAAACTGTAAATTAAAGCAGTAAGCAATATTGTCAAAAGAGAGTTTATGTGCATTGACAGTACTATTAAACTGAGCATCATAAAAGTGATTTGATTAACATGCTGAAAAGCTTACCAAGGTGAAACTCTCACATGCTTCTGACACTAAGTAAGCCACAGTACAAATATGGCTTTTCGGTTACACTGCACATGACATATTATTTTTCAGCCATTACACTTCTCACACTTCTTCCTCTAGTCTTTCTTGCTTTCTCAGTTGGGACGATTAGAGGGCAAAGCAATTGCTAGAGAAGAATTACTCCCAGGAACTGTGCTGTGATTGCTACCTGCTGTTTCATATTTTTGAAGTTGGGAATACTGCTCCCAAAGGCCTTTTGCGTCTCAGCCTAAATGATTTGCTGGAGGATAATAATGTCATGGCCAGTAAATAATAGTGAACTATGTCTGTACATGGTCAATATGATTAAATGTCCTTCACCTCTATTCTCACTCTGACCTGGTTATGAGAAAGTGAAAAAGCCATCAGCAATGCCCAAAGCTTCCCATGTGAAATGTTATTTTAAAGCAAGGGAGAAAAATAGAGGTGACTTAGCAAAATACTCCCAGTAACAATAAAATAAAAAGCTAGACATGAAAAGCAAAATTATCACCAGACAATCAGACTTGAGGTAACTGAACTACTGTGGCATCAAACTTGGAGCAATTTTCTAGTAGTGATTACAACTGCAAGAAACAACTTTGTGTTGAAAAGTATTGCCTATAATATGAAATGAAATAATGAAAATAGTAAGTATATCTTTCAATTGTAATTGTAGGTTTAATTTAAAAATAATTCCTATCATCATGAGACTTAATTTAATTTCAATGTATTTAGAATAAATTCTGTACAACTATTACGGCCTATACTTATATCTTCCAAACACTCTATTTTTTCTAATTTAACTCATACACACGTGAGTTTTGTCATCTGTGCCTATTTCTTTGAAGATATGCCAGTAAACTCAACTCCAACACTGCACAACCATCTTTTCTTAAAAGATTGCTCAAGGGTTGAAATATTTTTTTAATATAAACAGAGAGTAAAAACAACCTAAATATACATAAGCTTATTTCAATATTGAAGATACCAGGAAGGAATAAAGTATCTATAAAAGATTGTCCAGGTACATTTTTTATAGAAAGTTCCATAATCAAAGTGTCAGTTTATGTTCACATGGAGAAGTAATGTAAGCTGTAAGCTACAAAAAGTGTTGAAATAGTACATGTGGTGTATAGATCTACAGAAGTCAGAAATTTCAAAATTATGCCTGATGCATGTGCTTCAGGCTGAAAAATAATAATGACAAAATACAATTCCTGAATTTAGAAATTCAAGGGAACTGAGCTTCTGTTAACATTTCACAACTCTGCTACAGTATAAAAGCACGGGAACAGGTAACTATTTAGACTTTCAAAAGTATGAAAACAAATGAATTCAACCTTCCAAACTATCAGCAGTTATGAGAAAAGCTCTCTATGTACTCAGGCCATGTCCCCAGCAGCAGCCTTCTAGAACATTTCCCAAGTATAGCTAGGCTTTAAAGATACTGAACTAGCAGAGAAAAACAAGGCAAGCCAAAACGCAAGTCTTGCATTCACTTTCCTTCCAAATCCCTATGTTTTGCAGTGTTGTTATTATTAGTCTAAAATAACAAGGAAATGTTTTTCCCCTGGGTTGACAGATGACTGTACTTTTTATCTGAAAGTGCTCAGAGAATGGATAATTGATGTATGAACACAATATTCAATCTTAAGTGGACAACGGGGCACACAGCTGTGAGTGTAGAGATGGGTGTGCATGCGTACAGTGACTTTACTCAAATGACTGCAAGAATGTGTATATGCTTTCTATTAGTTACGCAATATCCTACTATTTATACTAAAATGAACTTGTATGTCTGACATACATTACATGCAGCATAAATACACACGGGATTAGTCATGGAAAAATATGCATATGCAAATACGCATACAAATACTGTATAAGAGTAATGAAATATAAGATTCGTTTAATTATCCAATGCATTAGAACACCCTTTTGAGATAATTATGTTGGATAATTAGCAGTTAAATTCTGGAACACGTACAATAGTGATTCAATTGAAAGCAATAACAATGGTTCCTTTAAAAAAATCCCCATGTTTAGTACTTCATTGATTTTTCATATGACTACACATGTCAATATGACCTTCAGAGTTCAAGCCATTAGGAAAAAATGGCTATGCTGAAGTGCCACCACAGCTTTGACAATTAATCATTTGGTCAGCACTCTAAAGACTTCTGAACACTTATATAACCATTGGTCACATTAGAAATTGTTTATAGGCATTTTCATGAAATGTCTTGCGAATAAGGATGGTATTGACTGATGTTATTCAATCTTTTTAACTTTGCTGTGAGGCAACCTAGAAGGCAAGGAAAAAAAAAAGTTCTTACCAGAATAATAAAGGTAACAGGTCCAATGAAACTCCAGATAAAATAGTTATCTACATGGAGCCAGCAACTACAATGGAAAAAAGAGAATGAAAAGTGAACAATTGCATTAGCATCTCAGTCCAACAAATGGAAAGTGCAAAAATACTTCTTAAGGTAACACTTTGCCGGCAAAACAATGATAAACATTGCACAGTACCACTTAGTCCATGGACAGTTTTTCCTAACCTGAAACTCTACTGATGAGTCCTCTTTAGTAACAGTATTGAACTTGAACTGAACTTTCATCAGGAATAGCTGAGATATGAGAAGAAACAAAACCAAATTGAGCTCTCTTTCCTTTCAGTCAAAAGGCTTGGTCACAGGTGCTATCACAGACTAATGAACCTAACATCAGTAAATACTTTTCACAGGTTTTCCATGTAATCTTCAAACTCTGCTTTTAACTTTATATCATAAGCAAAGTGCTTACTCCTGAGGAATATGAGACAGAAAATATTCACGACATGTTTTGCTGAAAACCAATATGGTATAAATAAAATGCCCGAACAGTAGAGAAAGAATACATATGATATTAGACTATATGATGTGTAAACCTACTAGGGCAGACTTCACTTAGCAATTTGTTTTTCATACAGGCCAGTTCCCTGCTGAATTGCTCTTATTTGTCTTTCATCAGTAGCAAAATCAAGCAGCTTTCTTGTAGTCAACAGTATCTTCCCATTCTGTAACTAATTTAATCAAAGGACAAAGTAAACAATATTGGAAGGCAAATTCATGCCTCCAGCAACTCACATCCTCAGGAATGTTTTCTGTCTACCTTCTGTCACTTTCTATATATATATCTGTATTTTTGTAAATGCAGTGGCTAATTTTAATCCTGCTCTACTTGCTTGATAAAATATTATCAAAGTGAAGCATATGGGTTGGAATATTGTACTGTCATAATTCAGGACAAGAGTTAGCTAGAGGGGCAGTTGAACAAAGAGATCTAATGAAGCTTTAGCTTAAAACTGGGTGGTTAGGCCTGTCAGATACTTTAAGTTGAGAATTTTTACTTAATATACATTTGAGGCCAAAAAGTTATTTACTTTTTCAATTTGTTTCAGGTCAGTCTTTTGTGTTAAAAGAAAGACCATAATTTAGAATCAGTCTCTCTAGAGTACAAATCCTCTGAACCTAGAGAATTACAAAGACTTGATTGTAATTTGTGCACAGCATTGCCATTCTCTTACGAATAAAGCTTTCAGATGGTATTTTAGTCTGTCAGGGACCCTCTGACAGCTAATAGGCTTTAAAAAATTATTCACTTGAAAAACACTCAGGTCACTTGCAATTACTTACGCTTTCTCTGTTCCGTAGCTCTTATAGTCAATAGCTGCTGAGACACCAACTACTGTAGCAGGGAAGAGGTAGCCAGCAACATAATAGTACTTCTTCCTAGAATATTCACTTTCAAATACTTCTACTAACATTAGATAAAGCTGCACTCCTTCTAGACACATCCAGGCAAAGGCTGCCAGGAAGAAAAAGTGTAAGAGACCTGCGAATATTGGACATGCAATCTGCAAAGAAAAAGAAAGATGGAAATATAAACCACAAAATCTTCACATCATTACATCATCAATTATATAGTGTGTAATAGAACAGCATATACTTCTATCAGAGATCGTTCACAAATTCAGGAGCATTTTCCCTACCTGAAAACATACACTGAACGCTTGAAAATACTAATGTGTGCACAGTAGCTACATAAAGTAAATTAGCTAAACAATATTAATGAAGGTAAGGAAATCATGTCCTTGGCCCCTAGTCTTCAATTATAGAGTGGACTTTTCAATTTTATAACTAAATCTTTGATTTTGAAACTGATACAGTTTTAGGATTTACAGTTTAGGTAATGTGAGACATAAACGGTTCTAGATGCATAATGTAGTACTGCTTATTTAAAATTTTGAAGTGGCCATCAAGACAATTTTATCTGCTGTAATCTGGAAGTTTCTGCTGTTGTAACAAAATCAAGTCTGAATGGTCCACCCTTTAACTGAGTTCTGGATGAAACTATACTGAATTATTAGATTACAACCCAATGGATTGGTTCAGAATGAATTTCACAAATACTGCCAAAAAACCTGCAAGAATACGCAGTGTCAAAAATGTGTAAATATACAGATAAGGCTCTTTACTAAGATATATATATATACAAAAAAGTAGCCAATAGCTGTTGAGACATATATATGTTCCTAGTACATCAACATTTAATTTCATCTCCTCTTCCAAAAGTTTAAACACCTGCTTCATTAATAGCCAATGTTTCTCAACTGAAAATGAAAAACATTGCAGTAAGTGGGAAATTAAGGCCACAGTGATATTTTTGATGGATGTAAACATGTCTACCTTATTTTCATACTGAGCTTTTATTTCAACCTCGCTGTGTCAGAATGCTGAAAGCCTGGCATTGTTGTCATGTTTTAATTCAAATCCATTTCAAACAGTCATTTCAGAGAACAAGATCAGTACACATGGAAAAAACTTACCTTGTACTCTGTCTTATCGATGCCTATTAGGAAAATGAACTCAGCAATGAATAGGTTGATACAAAGGTTCTTGTGAATAGTGTTACGATCACTTTGCAGGCCACGGAAAAAACAGAATGTGAAGATGCAGATGGCCAGGCAAACAAGAGAGATGACAATTCCCACCCAGGTGATGACAGTGAGGAGCAATTCGTGCACTCCATCTTTGTACTAGAAATAACCAAGAATGGAGAAAATTAATATGACTCTTTATGAGTATAAACAAAAACCTATTTTCACCGGTAGCATCCAGAGAAGTTACTTGTCCGTTACATGAGATGGGCTAAATGTACTCAGTAATTTCTCAGTCTCAGGTCAGCTTCCCAGAGGAGCAAGATAAGGGTGAGGAGAAAAGGAGCAGGTCTGAGAGAAAAATGTGACTATTTTAGCCAGATCAGATAGCATTTTCACTTTTCCTATGGTGCACGGTAAACTTGTCAAGACAAGAACAAATAGAAAAACATAACATTTTGAACGTGCCACTAGGCTGTGATGCAAAGAAAGAGGAGAGCTTTCCCTGGTACCTCCTAAAAGAGTGCATGTTCTTTCCTACAGACCTGCAATTCCACAGTGGTGAAGAAAGCAACAATTTACACGTCAGTGAGTATAAAATGCAGAGTATGTTATGTGTAATTCTAGCTCTAATCTCATGTTCAGCTAAAGAAGGTTCCTTGCTACAGTTGCAAGAGAATCACTTTTGTCGTCTTGGTTATCTTTCCAGCGACCTTTCCAAATACAACGCCTTTAAAAGAAGTCTCATATCCTTGCAAATATTGCATGATCCGGGCTCCCTGACATCCAGTCAGTGCTTTAACTAGACAACAAAACTTGAGAGTATGAAAAGGCATTTAAACAACCAATATGGAAGCTCCCTGACCTTCCTGTTCTAAGAATAGCTGGCACTTGTGCTTCCAGGGAACAGCCCGCACAGCTACCCCTACAGATACTCTCCAGCTGTACTGAGGAGAAGTCTGTAAAATGGTTGTAAGGTTGGTCAGTAACTTTGAAATATGACTTGAAAGAAAACTGTTGTCCTTCCTTGGTTTTCTTTCCTGTTATTTTGCTTGTAACTTCATGGGTGAGGAAGAAAAGTGCTACAGAAAGCAAACTGCATTGGAAAGAGTGAGTAGAAGCTATAAATACTTAAGAAACCTCCACAATTTTAGATCTTGCTAAAAATTTAAAGCTTAATCTTTAAAAGTTTGTTCCCTGCTGATGGCTAGAAACATCATTACCTACCACAATTTCCCGATGAGCCATAAGAATTGCAAAGTTGGTTAGGTGACTACAAGCACATGTTGTATGAGTTTTATTTGTGTCAACCAGTTTGCAGCCTTGAGTTGACCAGTATCCCATCATAGTCCTCTCTGAGTAGTTCCAGAAGGAGCAATTTGCATTGAAATAATTGTCAGGCTGGGAGATAAAAGGATAACATAAAATGAGGGTTTTACATACTAAGATGGTAATAACAATTGTTTAATATGTGTAAGGGTAATTTAGATTAAACTTTGCATGTTTCGGACAATAAAGTTTTTCATCAGCAAAATTGTGGACCCTGTTATACAAGGAAGACATCTAGTTTAAAAGGGACTTTATAGTCCGAAACACTCTAAGTGTAGTCTCAATTACGGTAGACCCAATTTTAAACAATTACAATTTCCATCTTACGATTTTATGCACTGATGGTACATTATAGCCATTTTTGCTTTCTGCAAAATTAGGACTGTGAATTTATTCTGAAGATATTTTTTCTGTAATTGAGAATTTGAAAATATGGTCTTTTTCCTTTGATTCTCACCTTTGGCAGGCCAAAGTCATGTGAACAGACATCAGGAAAAAGTTTATTGCTCAATATCTACCTATTTTGATGAAAACCAATCAAAACAGATTTACAGAAAGAGGCAAAATGAGAGGAAAATTCAACCATATTTTCTCTATCACAGTAGTGGTTATCTACTTTCCCCATGTGAGACATGAAAACAGAAAAGACCAAACTAACGAGAAAAGAAACATATGACATAAATTACCATGAAGAAAATATACAAAAATTTAAAGTGTAACAAACCAAGATATAATACATTATTCTTCACTAAATAAATGTATTTAAACAATTCGTATAAGCTTCTAGAACTTGGTCCAAAATTAATGTACAAAGTTAAAGTGTCATTAAAACTTGCTACATCAGACCATCAAGAACCTTAACAGTTATTTTCTACTCTGCTACTAAGGTAAGAGTTAATTTTCAGTTAAAAACAAATTAGTCATTTACATTTTCCTGTTGATTACTGAATTAGCTTTCATTAAGAATACACTTAAGTTCTAATAATCACTGAACCAGGCTCATTTAATTTTATGTTCATAGACTTAACTAAGCTTGTGTCTCTGACCTAGTCCAACATTTAAAATTCAAATGGAAAAAAGGTTATTTTTCTGCATTGCTCTTCTCTCTTGCTGATTTTATGACCTTCCCATTAATTCATTAGCATAACTCACATCAATGTGTTCCAGCGTGAAATGCACAGGATCAGTCAGGTACACCCGGCTAGACTCCTTGTTGATAGAGGCTGCAATGACGTGGGAGTTGACTGCGATCGTGCTATTCCGCCCAGCAAAGTCACTGCCTAGCTTTATGGTTGCATTTTCAGTACTGAGAAAACGCCCCAAACTTTTGTAAATGATGAACACCAGTTTTGCTAATCCTACAAAAGAAAAAAAATCCAATCATCATGCCACAGTGATCTAGGGAAAGATAGCAACCTGTATTCTAATGAACTGACAATAAAAAATCAGTAAACAGAGAGGCATTTTCAGGCTATGGATTTGAAGAAAAATCCTTAGGAACCCATGATCTTCAAGAAAAGGCCACAGAGCAGTTTTGTTCTGTTTTGTTTTGGTATATTTAACTAGGGGAGGTAATGTAGGTTTTATAAAAGTTAATGGAGTTTCAGTGCTCCGTGCCCAAGACTCACCGTTCCTGCTGTTCTGTTTCACGGTGCTTGCAGAGAGCTGAATAGAGTTGCCTCCTTTACTGCCCTGAGGAAATTTCAAGTCCTGCACCTGGCCCTCAGTAATGAGCACTGCAACATCCAAAACTAAGCAGAGCAGAGAAAAAAAAAAAAAAAAAAAAAAAAAAAAGAAGAATGCAGAGAAAGTCTCTTGGCCAGACTGCAATATGCCAGATGACAATATTTCCCCCCACTCTAGTTTTCTCACTGCTGTCCTCATTTGCCACTGTAAGACTGATCTGTACTGCATGTTTCAAGCACACAGCTTCGTTAACTAAACCTAGAGCACACTATTAAAATGACAGCACTTTTAATAGTTATAACATGACATCAAATCTTGTTTTGTATCCCCAAAACATACACTTAAAAATATCACACACACATTGCAGAGAAATGTTAATTTTAAAGCTCCTAACACCTACACAGTATCCTCTGCAAAAATTTAGAACTTTAAGTATTGATATAAAGAGGTTTTAAAACAGTCAGTAAATTAATACCTAAGTATACTTATGCTGTGTGTTTAGCTAAGTCAGTATTTGTATCTAAAAAAAAAATTTATAATTTTTTTCCTAAATCTAATTCTGTATAAAGGTTTATAGGAAATCATTTTATTGGTTCTACTAAAAAAATACTGAAATTGAAAACTTAAGATGATACTTAGACTTACTTAACTTTTAATTTTATAATATCAGGAAGCTTTTATGTGATTACCACTGAAGGCCGGATTCCCCTGGATATGTAAAATCATATAGGTCAGAGCAGTCAATTTCTTGACAAATATCTGCATTACATTATACTGGTCTAACTATAGGTCTAAACTATAGACTAACAAAAGGTATGAAATTAAGAGAATGATTTCTCTTTCTCTAAGCCACACATATGTATGTGCGGTGGGAATTCAGTCTTGCATGGCGTCAGTGATGTGTTACTAACTATGACTTGAAGACAGCTTATCAAAAGAAGTGATGTTCAGTCTACTGAGCTCCATGGAACCACTCATGTACACCCTGAGAGAGACTTTCTGTGATTCTACCCACATTCCTTCAGAAACAACTGGTACAGTTACTTTGATAATAGACTGTAACACCTTTCCTAGTCTCTCTACGCAAATTAAAAACTAGGCAGAATCATCTTCTGCAGTGACAAATATGCAGACACTGAAACGTGAAAAGTTTCATTTCTGCAGTCTATTCCAAGTCTCCATCTCAGTACCCCTCAAATTATCAGACTTTTAGTTCCCTTGTACCTCACTGAGACTACATGAATCTCTGTAATAAGATGAAGGAATTTTAATTTTATGCATAGCAATGATTTTTGCTGTAGCACATTCCGCGTACCAATATTTGCACATCTCTAATACCAAACCCCTTCATTTCTCTGTCACCACTTGAATTCCGAATTATGCTCCAAATATCTTCAGCTATTTTGCAGTCTCTGAAGCATAGCTATTCTGCATTATGGGAGATGTAGTTCACTGAACACATTTTTACCTGAAGGCAGTCATGCTTAATGTAAACATTTGGCCTATGTTCTGAGTGCCTAAAATATTTAACTGGCAGAGTATGTTGTAAAAAAAAGTAATTTAAATTCATTAGAAACAGTTTATATATAACAGAAAAGCATTTCTACTGCTCTACAGAAAGCAGTTACCTCAAAAAAAATCTATACTCTGCCATTTAAGCACTCTTCATACCCATATGTTCTGCTAATGATTTTTCAGTGGTAAATCAACTTTGCGACATCACTTACTTTCCATTTTACACTGTATTAATGACACTAAAGAATTACACTAATTTTGAAGATCTAAACAAGAAAAGCATGTTTCCCCCTGCTTAGGAGCATTTACCTTTCCACCAAATGTTGCACAGCTCAGTTTTCAAAGAGTACGTCACTAGCTGGAATATTTTTTCCTGCTTTTGTATAAAGCAGTGCACAGCACTTTATAAATTAGGCTTGAAAAGAAAGTTACTTACCGATATTTTCTGTGGGCATTGAGACTCTAGTTGGTTCTAAGAGATTATCAGCCAAGACAAAAGCCCCTTCTTCTAATGTATCAAGTAGCATTGTGGCTGCATGGGCTTGTTCTGAAGAATTCATGTCCTTCCAGGACTCCAGAGCTTCAGGCCTGAGCAGGTTGTCCACTGTATCCACAATTGCCTGCATTCATTAGAAAACTATCATTAGGTCTGATTGCCCTAGGCAGCTGGGGAAAATTTCCAACGTTATCTGGTGACAATTATAATACTTAACTGTCAGAATGATTTACTGTGATTTAATGGCACTAGAAAACTAGTTTCAACATAAAAATATTTTCCATCCTCTTGCTGGATTAGCATTAACAGAAGTGCAGTTAGCCACTAGCACTGTGTGGTCTCTAAGTGGTAAACATGCAGATTTGACTCGTCTCGTGTCAGCTATAAAGGCGGTCTTATTAATGTGCTGAAAAACGTAAAAATAAATGCCAGAAGTTTTGCCTGAAGCTTTCATCTTAATGTCAAAATGTATAACTTCTATTTAAAAATACTAATGCCAAAATTGGCATTTTGCAGTTTAGGCTAAAATGACAATAATACTTTTCTGGAAACTTAGCCCAACTCATGCAGCCATAGCACTATAAACTACTTTTCTATGACAAACTGCCTTCTTTATTACAGGAGGCATGAAATGAAGCTGACTCAGTGGATATAAATTAGCCTGGGCCACCCTCACTCCCCCTCCTGTTCCTGTACCTGTTCATAGATACTTAAAAAGATTACTAACTCCCATTCCTGCACAAAGGTCAGTTAAAAAAGGAAATCAATAGAGCAAACAAGATGTCCACTGACTGTCCCTGTTATCAGTGAAGGCAAAACTGTAAAACTGTATAAAGCTGCCATTTTAAAAAGTCCTTCTTGTAACAACTCTATCATCATGTTTTAAGGTTCATTAAGCTGCATATAAAGTAACAGTAAATAAGGAAGACGAAGAATTCAGCGACATGATTACATTATTTTTACAAAATAATCCAATCAATCAGAGTAATCAGTTAATCAATTGAAGGCAGGCTCTTACATTAATGCATAATGTAGCTGTGCATTGAGTATGCTGTGCATTGAGTACGCCATGCATTGCTGAAACACCCTGTTTACTCTGTCCCATTTATCCAGTCATAATGTGTCATTAAGCACATATATAATTTGTTTGATCAATTTAAAAGCATTGGGAATGGAAACAGAACACATTGTACAAACAGAAAGATGTCGGTCTGAAATACTATACTGTGCAAATAAACAAATAAGAGAAGTTGGTCATGGCTATTGTCAGAGCAAGATTAATTAGCCTAATCCATTTTAATATCCTCTTTCTGTCTGCATTGTGAGCCACCACGACCTTCCTGGCAGGTGGAAGATACTTCGAAGTGGCATTAAAGCCTTTTTTCTTTCTCTAATGGGAGACAGAATAGTCAAAATGCTCGCACTGATACTGCTGCAGCCATTAACTAGAGTGGAACAGAAATTGGTCTGCAGAGGCCAGATTCATTAGTCACCAAGAAATACAGATTGGAGCCTCTAATCTGAGGTACAAATGAATCCTCTGTCACAAAGTGGGAACTTGCTTCATTTGCATAGTGTAAGTCAGCTTTTGATTTGTAATTTCAAGAGGTTTATTAGTCTTATCTAAGCAGAGAAGCCCATTTGAGACCTACAGAAAATGACACTGGTTGGAAACTAAGGTTGCACCACAGTTTCTTGTGTATCTCTATATAGCGCTGACGGTATGCATTCATTAATATGAACTGCTTTTATTTATTATGGTATAATCTAACTCTGCATTTTTCCTGTGGAAAATGATCACCTGCCCAGCAATATTTCTGAGGCATTCTCTCCTCTCAGACAGAGGCGAGCAGGCAGTGGGAAGATCACACAGCCCCTGTGATGCAGCTGTTGGAGCAAATCCATTACTACTCTTCTCACATTCATGTTTACTATTGAAAATGAAGTATGAAAACTCAGTCCACACAAAACATATCTGCTGGACTTCCCTCTACTACTATAAACCACTTTCTAATAATAAACTATTACAATTACTATTGAGAAGTGAATTTTTTTCCAGATCTTTGTCTCTTTTTGTCAGATTTTTGCACAACTGGGCATCTCCCATCCACTTCTGGGCTGCAGGATAAAAGACAGAAGCACCCTGTATAAATATCTCTTCAGTAAGTATCTGAATTATTTTATTATGTTGCAAAGTATTTCAAGGTTCTTTTCAAAAAATCATTCTTACATCTTAACTCAGAAGGTATGAGTAAAAAAATGACTATTTTAAAAGAAACTTTGAAAAAATGTGCAACAAAAATTGTCAGAGCCAGGCACAATCTGTTCTAGGACTTTTTTATCTTCTTCATGAGCGTGAGGTGGCACTACTGGCATTGTATTGCAGAGCAAGAACTGCCACTGCAGATGAAAGAAACTGAAAATCAGGTAGCAAAGTGTTACATGCCTTCCATATAGCCTGGTTAATGGAATATGTGGCACACATTTGAATAGTAAAGTTAGAGAAATTTTGCCTTTACATTTTATCCTGAAGTCACTGAATCTGGCCTTTGTAACAACTCTTAAAATTGTAAGAAAGAGTGATTTTACTAGGTATAAGAATACACAAAGAACAAAAGCAGGCTATATAATGTACATTTTTCATGCAAGCAAATTAACTCTAAACAGTCTTTGATATAAAATACTACCAAGCTGAAGTAATTTCTATTATGTTGCCAGCTTTTTCCTCTACCCAAAGTTGTATTATGAGAGAGATGTTACTTCCAATTCAGATAATAACCATTTCTGCTCTTTTAGTTTTGAACAAGTTGAGTTAAAAGAGGTATGAACTTTTGATTTTTAATTTTTGTTTTTTTTTTCTGAGTGTTATACCTGTGCAAAGCCAACATTTGTACAGCTGATATGGGGCACAATACACATTTATCAAAGACTGAAATACATAGGATCATGCAGCAAGATGATAAAGCGTGGCAGGTTGCTGAAGCAGGGAGAAAGCAGGGTGACAGCACAGGAGAGATACCTTAAGGTAAGCCCTGCATGTCTTCTCTCGTTTTTGGAGCTTTTTAGTAAGAAAAAAGAAAATCAGAAGTTAGACACATTCTGGAAAGCTTCAGAAATATCAAAAAATTAGTCTGGTTTTTCAAATCCCTAATTTGAACTATAGCTTGGACATTAGTTTCTGTCCAGCAATGACTCTAAAAAACCATCACACAGGAAACGTTTTTCCCCAACCTTTACACAGGTGCCCAGATATCTTTGCCCAAACGGTGGGATTTTTGTGAAAAGGTCAAAGGAGAAAATCCCTGTGTGGGCACTTGATCTGTCTCTGGGAAAACTCTTTTAAGGGCAGCTAGGGATTATAAATAAAACTATTCCCAAAATAACAGAGGAGTGCATGGAGCTCTCTCTCTAAAGGAAACTGAAAAATTGTTTTTCATTTGGAACTTGTTGACTAAGATGATGCAAGGAAGAGGCTGAGAAATACAGCATTTCCTCTGAGAAAAAGAGGAATAGTAATAACACTTGTGATTTGTATTTAAACCACAAAGACATAAGTTTTCTCTGAAATGTTTGTCTGAACACCATTCCAGAGAAAGCACTTATTCATGGTTTAGATATGCATATTAGGGTATTTTTATAAAGATTAATTATAAGTGATGTTGGCGTCTTTAAAAGACTAAGAAAGTGCCATTATTCTGCAGGAAGTCAGATTAAAATAAAAGCCTGTACCTATGCAGAATCCCACTGATTTTATTACATGTTCAGGGTTAAAAGGATCACTGGATAAACACGCTGATTTGTTACAGTATTTCTGAGAGCTAATGCCCATTTCCCTCACACTAGTTATAATGCATTCCAGATTTTAATAGGGGACACAGCTATGTATTTTAGGACCAGTCAGCTACCGTGAATTATATCTTATTCCCTAAAGAAGGTAATTGCAACTTTCTGCTCTGTATTTACTGCTGTTTTCTCTCTCATGTTTATTCCAGAACTGTAGCACATGGGAACAAAGTATAGATTAATATTTCTGAAAGAAGAAAAAGGAAAAAAACCAAAGGCAATGGTTATCCCAGCAGGAGGAGGTGATGGGAGGTGTGTACCTTGTTATAACTCCTTCCAGCAGAGTCTTTTTCACTGGGCCGCAGTTCCTGCAGCTGAGCATCCAAAATGTCCACGAGCTGCTCCATCAGCCTCACTGATGAGCTAACATCACCAGCGAAGACTGGTCCTTTGGTGTGTTTAGCCAGTTCATTGGCCAAACTAGCAGCATTTTCTCCACTTCTGATCTGAAATGACAATGTAGATTATCTCAGCAGGATCCCTTGTTCTGCTTGCGGGTCCTAATTCCAATTCCCTGTGTACCTTTGTTGTGGTGAAATAACCGTTTGCATATACATTGAAATGTGCAACTAATTGAGACCAATAACGTTCTCTTTATCTCAGAAGATTAAAGGTTCTTAGATCCCTGACACACAAAAGCAGTTCTTAACAGCCATCAAAATCAGAAATCAGTCTGGGAATTTTGGGGTAGATCTTCTATTCATCCTCACTTTTCTTTTACTGCCATTATCAGGCAGCAAGAAATCTATTTGTTCATACTAGTGCGTGAGGCATTTGAAAGTCAAATAGCCTGATACTGACAACAAATTATCCAGTTTTCATAAACTTAGTAAATCTCAGTAGGGAGGGAAAACACAGAAAGTGGCTCTGCGGTCTAATCATACTGTTATTAATACACTCAGACAAAAATCTATTTATTACAGTGTAATTTTTCCTGAACCAAAAAACCTTGCTGTATACCATAGTTTTTGCTGTGTGATTTATAATATTTGATTTATTAAGCAAATATAGCTTTTGTTTTTTGAACACCAGCAAAGTTACTATGCTTTAAAGAGTGATGAAAACACGTAATCACAGATTCAACAGAAGAACTTGGAGAGTGTACCAAAACACATACATGTACCTAACTGTTGGCCACTGCTTTGCACAAAGTACACGTTAATCCTTCTATTTTAAATAAACAGGAGTAATAAAGACAGCTTCAACAAACTGAATTATTAATGCTCAGAGTTAAAATCCTCAATCACCAGTGTACACCAGATTAAAAGGTTTCAACCAACCTTCTGAGCCAGCTGATTTACCCAGTGTGAGGTGCAGTTGCTAAGATCAGGGCCTTTGGGGTTCCATGCTCCTGTTAAGACCACGCAGAGATATGAAGCAGTTCCTACAACAGATGTAGAAAACTACAGTGAAATGGAAACCATTTTTCTGCATGCATTCAGGAAATTGGCTACACTGTGCTCCTAAGCAATGTTAAATTCTGAATGCCGCTAATGGCAGTAGTTGACAATAATTGACAAAAACGTAAGGAAATAATGTAGATTACAAACAGCAATAAAAAAGTCAATGAAAAGTACCAGACGTTTTCTGCAAACAAACAAAAAGCCCTTGATTTTTCCTGGAGCTCATCCAGAGGGGAGCTCATAATGAGAAAGGCAGCTGTAAGCATATTTTACAACAGTCCTCAAGCAAAGCCCTAAAATTTGACCTGAGTTCTCAAAAGTACATGCGCAAGGTAATTCTCCAGCTACACTCAAATGCCTTTTGCAGATTAAAACTTGACCACTGCCTGTAGATACTGCATTCTCCAAATAACAAAAAATCACATGACAGACAGCTAAGGTAAAAAAAAATCACCATGAGAGAACGGCACATTGCTTTTGAAATGTCTGTTTGAAATCAATATATATTTTTAAAGGCAATACCTCGTGTTCCTTTGGGGCAAGGGCGTTCAACCATCATTCCTCTTTGTGTTTGAGGCCAGCTAATCCCCCTGGCCTCAGTCGGTTCACAGAATCTCTCTGGCAAAGGGAAAAAACTTGTCACGGGAGGAATTTTGGTTGTGGAAATGGGTGGCAGTGGCTTGGGTCCTCTGCTTCCTTCCTTTGTTCCTCCAGCTGATGTTGTGCTTATGGGACCTTTCTGTGATGTAGTGATAGTGGTTGACACTGTGGTTTTGTATAGCTCTGCTGAAGAAGTTATTGTCACTGCTGTGGTAGGCACTGCACAGAGAAAATTAAGAGTAATAATAAAGTAAATTAAAAATTATTTTTAAAAAGTTATTTAAATGTTATTTATGTAGTTTTGAAAGATTACCTGGTGTATCCTTTCCTTTACCTTAATATTACTCTTTTTTTTATTGCTATTCTGGGTGCTTAAGACATAATTTCGTGGGGTTTTTTGTTTTTTTACTCCCAGCTCATACTAGTATGATGTTTCAGCACATTCGCCAAATAATCTTTTCCATAATAAAAATTTATAGTTGCATTTCTAAAGGCTGAAAGGCAGTACTAGTGAGTTATCAGTACATAACAAACATGCTCAAAGCAATTAAAGATTACTTAATCACTTTTGCAGAAGGAATAACTCAACAGACAGAATAATTTGAATCAGCGTGCTGTAAACAATGCAGTCCAGCTTTAACAACAAAGGCAGTGGGCTGTAACTAACGAGACCATTCTAAAAAAACATAACCCAAAACTTTAAGTCACCCAGTACACACCTTCCAGGAAAATTGTGATAACATCTTCCTCCTCGGCAGTCATTCTGCCTGAGAGAGCTGCAGCATGCCCGATTAGCTCCAAACAGAAGCAGCGTCTAGCATGTACGTGGCGTTCCTGTGTTTGAACATTTCGGGCCTTAACATCCTTTTCTGATAAACCAGGTATGAAGACACAACTCGTTCAAGCCAGTGGCAAATACCTAGTTTAATCTTTTATGAAACCCTAGGATCGGCTTAGGCCAAGTCACTTCTGCCTGGGACTTGCAGCCGCTCATTCCACTGACCCACGTTGGGAATGCATCACCGGAGCTGCTGAGGTACAGCCCGAACTATGCCATGGTTTTGAGGCTTTGGAGAATAATACTACTTAATGCTAGTGGAGGCAACAGACTGGAATTCTTCATCACCTTCAATGTATACTGAGCAACAGCTGAAACAATGCAAGTGAGCAAACGGCTCGTTGACAAGAAGCTCAAGATGACCTGGCAATGTGCACTGGCAGCCAGAAAGCCAGCTGTATCCTGGGCTGCATCAAAAGAAACATGACCAGCAGGTCAAGGGAGGTGACTCTCCCCCTCTACTCCGATCTCATGAGACCCCACCTGGAGTGCTGTGTCCAGCTCTGGGCTCCCCAACATAGAAGGACATGGACCTGTTTGGAGTGAGTCCAGAGGAGGCCACGAAGATGATCACCTCCCTTATGAGAACAGGCTGAGAGAGCTGGGGGTGTTCAGCCTGGAGAAGAGAAGGCTCCAGGGAGACCTTACACTGGCCTTCAAGTACTGAAAGGGGGCTACAGGAAAGATGGGGAGGGACTTCTTACAAGGACACATAGTATTAGGACAAGGTTTAATGGCTTTAAACTGAAAGAGGGTAGATTTATATTAGATACAAGGAAGAAGCTCTTCACTATATGAGTGCAGTGAGATGCTGGCAGAGGTTGCCCAGAGAAGCTGTGGCTGCCCCCTCCCTGGCAGTGTTCAAGGCCAGGTTGGACGGGGCTTTGAGCAACCTGGGCTGGTGGGAGGTGTCCCTGCCCATGGCAGGGGGGTTGGAACTGGGTGATCTTTAAGGTCCTTTCCAACCCAAACCATTCAATGATTCTATGAAAGTAACTAAAACAGTTATCATTAATTCTTTCCAAGTCTTCATTAGTGATTTATAGGCACATAAAAGCACTGATCCTTGTGCTGAGAATAAATAAGCTTGTATAAAGTATTTTTTAATTCCTGATACAGAAATAAATGAAACTAATTTTATAATTAACTTCACTGGATAAAGTAGCTTTTTTCTTTTTTTTTTTTCCTTCTTCTGCTAGGCCCTCAAACTCCAACTTACTGGACAATGCACCTTCTCTAAATAAAATCATAAACAAAAAACAAATGAGGAGCTACCCCACTTTCTTTCAGCAGATTTTTTTAATTTAGTGTTTTGAATAAGATTAACTTTCAGTAGTTTGGCAGATAACAATTATTTCAAAATCCTTTTTCAATTTTATTTTAGTTATATTAAAAGGCTCAAACATGAATTTATCTTTTTATTTTCATATGAATTTAGAGTGGAGTATTTGAACATCATCTGTTTTTAAAGACTAAATGAGAAGACGTGCTTTTCATCCCTCTCTTGTTCCCAAATGAGAAACTTCTTCGGAGGCTGTCTTCTCTTCAGTTGCATTCTTGGCTGCTTGAATACAGTTTGTGTAATTGTGCTGAACTCGTGGCATAGGCAGCTACTATGAAACCTACTGAAATCCTCAGAACTGTTCTGCAAGTGCTTGCCTGACATCTTGTGAAACTGCTGTAATTTTCTTTTGATTACAGTGCATCCAGCCTTCTCGTGCTTTCCCAATTAACATTTGTCAAAAGCATTTGCAATCATTTGCAGAAGTGTCAGGCAACGCCTGCTGAATCAGGTCCTGGGGAACAGGGAACTCGTGGGGACGGAGAATGATGCAGGGGACAACTAATTGTTACTATATATCCCCTAACACATTGTGCTAATCAGTACATATTTAATCACTTAAATGAGTATCAGCATTATTGCAATTACTACTCTAAACCTATAATGTTTAGGGTAGTTTCATCTCAGGAGCAAAATATCACTGTAAGAATTCATAAAAACTCTCTGAAGTTCAGTAGTGAGGTAGCAATTTTCAGAACATATTTTGTGCTGCACCCTGAACTAAAGTATCCTGCTATCATTGTGCAACTTTAGGTAGAATAATTTTAATGTTATCCACTACAATCAATTTCAAAGCATATCACCTATGATTCAGAAATGACCTGCATACCTTACTAGTAGTACATACTTTAGAAAAATATTTATAATCTCATATTTTAGGAGAAAGACTTCAAACCACCTCTCTCAAAAAACTAAGAAAAATACAGATAATTTCTAAGAGATTTTCTCTTGAATCAAGTTTTAAAAAAGGAGAAGTCAATACATTTAAGAATGTACCAGGAAACTTCAGACAGTCCTGGAAGTCTGACAAAGAAGGCTGAAAAAATAAGAAATGACCTAACACATCACTTTAAGGAATACATCTAGCTTTTAGAAGGCAGATTATTTTGTGTTAAATGACCTGTTGGAGAGCTTATTCTGCAAGGCCATTCTACTGGGCTTCAAGAAGACACGATAGCTGCCATCACCTGATGTGTCTCGTTTTGAAAGCCGAGGGTGATGGCATCTGCGGGATCCCATGCACTGACTCGTGGAGCGCTTTGCCAATATAAGATAATGGCAGTGATGATTAATATGCCACAGCTAAGAAGAAAAAACTCCATGTTGAGGTTATTAACCCATTGTTCCGAGCAGCAGGGGTGAGCCTCTCCAAGGCTGAAGATACATAATTTTGGCCAATGCCAAAAAGCCTCTTTTAAAATGTGAGATTCTATTTTGTACTTTTTGACTAGGCTTGACATGTCAAGGAGAAAACCAAAACCTATTCTGCGTTCTCCCTTTTTTTAAAAAATAGGCGCGCCTCCTTATCAGCTGAAGACACTCTTCATAAAACTAAAAAAATAAAAGAGCAATAGGAAGTAAATCCAAAAACTCAAGTTGAGGGTAATTAATTTACGTTTGTTCCATGCAGTTCCTAACGGGTGATTTAAACAGTTATACATACTAGCTGTTTCTAAAAATGAAGACACCACTGGAGTAAAACTTAACACCTGTTTAACAGTGTGATGTCTATAAAAAACATAACACAATTGCCTAGGACAGCAGGGGAATAGTAACTTTGTTTCCCCAACTGACAGTGAAGAGTAGCTTTAGAGAAGGTACACAAGCTATCTAGCATTCTTTGCCAACAGGTTTCTATTCTAAGCAGGCATAAAACACATTTTTTTTAAAAACAGACCAAGTCAAACAAAAAAATCCCCACCCAAAATACAACTCTGTAAAACTGTATTGAAATGTCCAGATGATGCACCACTTCTGAAAATACTAATGGTTCCATTTTCATCTCCAGCATCTAGGTAATTTTAGAAATCATATGCATGGATTTTTCAGTTAAACATATGCTCTTACAGATCAGGTATTTTAACGTATCTGGACACACGAAAAACTCTGTGCCCATCTTCATCATCAAAATGTGTCATATGCGGAGCTGTTGTGTAAAGCAACAGAGCCCAGAAACCTATGCGAATCCAGACTTCCCTGCCTCCTGCTTATTTCCACTGTGTGCTGGTTTTCATGCTCCAGTGAACAGCAGCCAAGTCACTAAGACTCACCTAATCACCTATAGGTTCCAGCTATTATGCTAGCTGGTACTCTACTGACCCTGCCAAATCCTGTTTAGTTGAAAGCAAAATGTTTACATAGCCATTTATAAATTTATACTTGTAAATGGTAACAAATATGACACAAAATTAGCGAAATACCTACAATCAAGAAATGTGCTATCTGGTCCCCATTATGTCATCTCTACTTGTACAACCACTCTTTAATCAATCTGTAGAGTATCAGATTCGATATAATAGTAAAGATCTAATTTACTTATCAATTTGCTGCATGACTTCATCATAGATTCTTGGTGTTATAAAGATTTAGTTGCACTAGTTTCCTATTATTTTAAGCCCTTGGTGATAGTAGTCTCCGAGTTTCTGTTCTGTCCACACTCACAACATCCATATTTTCCTGCAGTGATCCAATAAAACTTAATGATGGGTATCATGGTACAAAAGGGGAGACAACTTCAGTTCGAACAGTTTGCACAGTTAGCACAAATTGGGATGAGTGCAGATGAAATCTCTCCCTAATGCACTAACACAGAACAAAAGGATTTATCTTCTTTTTGTTACCAAGGAAACCTCACAATGTAATGCTCATATTCACATTTTAGGGGGAAAATTTCCTTCATTCTTCCTGATCTTTTAACATTCTTTTAAAAATTCCTATTTCAGTGAGGATTCATTTGGTCCCTTGGATACCTCCTTTAGAAAGTGTGTCACAGGACATATCCACTAAATTTACCAAGGATATAAAAACTCTGGTTTGTTTCAAATTTTTTCATAGTGGCTTTTTGTAGGGCCTGATGTATTGCATTTTATTTCTAAATAAAGGTTTTGATTTTTAAATGTAATTTTTACACTTAACCTTAGAAAACGTGCTCTTCTGCACATTACTGTTGTACTTGTCAGCTGTACCTCTGAAAACCATTTCTACATCTACATACTCTAATTCCCATGAGAAGTGACAAGAAAAAACAACACATGAAGAATGAGGTTAAGGGGGGAGTTCTAAGGGCAGCAGACCCCATTGTCAGAGTAAGACAGTAGCCTGGCTGCAGCATCCGCAGCTTTAAAAATCTGAAGAGTTCTCCTGAAAATTAAGAAAATAAGGATACGGGAAGCACATAACATGGACAGTTGCAAGAGGAGAAAATGGTGTAGGTTTGCAGCAAGGACAAGGTCAACATTAGGTTAATTATAACAGTATTTCAGAGGTTTCAGTAGGCAGATTTAAAAATGAAAGAAACAACATAGAGAAAAAAGGCAGGCTTGTGGTCATGGATGAGCCCAAGATTTCGGCCCCAGGAGCATATGTAAACCCTTGAGCTCAAAATTGTGGCTCAAATGTGACACATTCATCTTTCACACAGGAAAAAATACTGTTGTTTTTGAAGCACTTGGTAGTTGGAAGTGATGGTGTAGACAAGAACTGATAGTCAAGACAGATAGATGAGGAAAAAAAAGAATCAGTGTGTGTCTATATATCATTATTGCTCCCATGGTAACAGAGCGAACACAGATTGCTGATTTTCCCACAATGGCCCCAAGTTAACCATTCGAACAGAAAAGGCCACGACTCCCAATTTTGAGGCACTGACCTTGTGACACCATTAAATTCTTGATATTAAAGTACCACTGCAAAAGACACTAAAAGAAAGTTCTTGTGTTAGGTGACTTAAAGAATGTTATCCTAACACCTATGTCTTTGAGTAGATGATTAAGAAATCTGAGTCAACCACAAAAAACCCAAATCAAACCAGAAGAAGAGAAATACAAAACTGCTCTTCATCGAATGTGCTGAAAATCTAATTCCATGAGATAAAAATTCCAAATTTGCATTACACATATAGATCCTTTAACTGTGTAACAATAGAAGGACTGATCTTCAATTTAGACAGACTTTATGCTGAAACAAAGAAGAGCCAAGAGTATAATACAAATAAAATGTAGAGTTAGAAACGGTACAAATCTCTTCTTGGTTTTATAGCAGTACATCTCAAGGACAACCATATTAGGTAATTTTTCCTTTAATTCAGTAGTCTTTAACTACAGGCAATTGGCTTAGGCAAAAGAGGAAATGAACTGAAACATATTCTTAGATATGATATGTACAGATCCATACAAGATTAAAATATTGGGTATTGGCTTTATATAAGGAAAATTACCGTTTGTGAATATATGCATCACATATTCAAATAAACCTAGTGTCTACATATGGTTTCTATATTTTTAAAAGGCCATAATAAAAATATATTTACTGATGTCATAATGCATTTAAAACCCAAACTCAAAAATTCCTCCTCTGTCTTCATGGGTGAATGGGCAAAGAGCTCAGAGGAGAGGAAAGCACCCTCAGTATGCCCTGGACCCTTTCTTCAGTAGGTCTGGTTGGATTAAACCATTTCCCCCCATGCCTTGCATACCAGCAAGGAAACCAGGAACATGAAGGGGTGCTGGTGAATGCCCAAATCTCTTTCTGATATTAGATGGAATGTGGCCAGCACACGTACTGTAACTTAGGATCTTGGCAACCCTCTCATAATAAAAACATTATGAAATGTCTTACTGCAGATCTTTGGTGGTTTACTAAAGCAAAGGAAGGATTCCACAAAGCCTTTTCTTCTCTCCCTGCTCTTCCTTAACGCTTTTCCTTCCAATGCAGATTTAAAGATTAGCTTTTGCTAAATTCATGGCAGCTGCCTGAATTGCGAAAGCTACTTAGAGCCTGCACCTCCATTTTCTTCTCTTACTACTAAAGCTTGGGAGAATTTAAAATGCATCTTCATCTCAGTTAAACCGAATGGAAAGTGACATGCATGAGAATATATGAAAATGAAAGCTTTAAATGTTGTCTGATTACATAGGTGGGTATGTCTGTGCTAAAAGCAGTCCCAAAGACTCTCTGAGGAACAGACTAGCTTGACAGAGAGCAAAGCTTGCCAGGATGGCTGCCCTTGCAGCTGAAGCTCAGTCCCCAAACACCTGGAACCTGCCTGAGCCTGGGCATGTATTGCCAAGGAGGTCTGCAGAAGACAGACTGGACAGACAGTCACTTGGCTCTGGAGATCACTAATGTATTGGTTTTAAACTGCTTGTTCTGCTATGTATTACATATTATTGTACCTGAAAAAGTCATATGCATGTTGATATAATTGTGTTCACAACACTGTGCATGAATCAGCTTCACTGAAGCAGGATAGCTATTTTTCATGTGGAGAAGACATTATTACTACTTTTTTGAAGTAGAAAAAGCGGCTGTTAAACATGCATATCCGTTAGATGAAAGAAGTGAAGTATTACCGTCATTGCTGAAGCAGCTTATCAACATTCTGTTCCTTGCTGCATGCATCTTCTGCCACAGAGCATTTCTCTTGGTATTTACTCTCCTCTTCAGATGTTAGTATGTGGCTGTGCCTGTTCATGTCATTTTTAGGGATTTCTGAGACCTAATGACCTCCATTTTTCTTTCCTCTTTTATCAGCTAGTGTCTTTCCTTTTAGGCAGTTGCTCTAACTTCGAGCTGAAGTGAAATTGTAATGGACTTACCGAGAAACCTGCTAAAAAGATGTTGGATAATCTTGTCTAACCCAGCATTAGAAACTGTGAAAACAGGGCTGCTGAAAAAAACTTATGCTTGGTATTGCACATTAACCCATACATCTCCTCCGAGACCTCCCAGCACACATTGCTCTCAATTGCTGGTGCCAAGAAATTAAGAGGTCTGCATGTATGTTGTAATCAATTCAAAAGTCAGGTAATGCCGAACGGATGGGAACAGGCTTCTGGCTCAGCACGAATGAATTCAAACTTGGGTTAGCTATAGGAGTCAAACTGACTGATGGTATAAAGTAAATAAACAATTCCCCTACTCATTCTCAAACACAGGAAATCTAAACACTTTTATTTTTTTAAAAAAAGCACAAGCCTATAAACCAAATAAAGCCATTCTCTCTCTCTTCACAGGTTCTGCAAATTTGCCTTGCACCACTGTAATGCTGTATTGCACAGAGAAAACAATCCCTCCCTGTCTGTCTGCCAAGAGCTAAGTCTAAGACCAAAGATATTGTAACATAGTTATCTGAATGGAAGTACAAGGAGATTAAAAAAGAGTAAAACTAAATTCTTACCTTGGGCAGGATCAGGTGGGCCAAACTCCAAAGAATATCGCAGAATGAAGTTGTTATTCCACACATAGAGCTGGTTGTCTCTGGGGTTATAATCCACTGCAGCGATGTACTGGTACTGGTTGGGGAAAGGAATGTCCACGTGCTCGCCTCTGCTTAGCCTGGTGTTGTAGATGTAATCGATGGCGTTCTTGCCGGTCTCGCTCTCATTGTCCTGATAAACCGACCGCACTACGTACAGGACACCACATATCATGAAAGCATTAGATGCTGCCCGTTTGTCGTATGTAGTTTCCCAGGTGGCTTCGAAACGCAGGGTGTAAGGGTTCAGCTGGCTAATTACTATCATCCCATTGTTTTGCTCCGTAGCATAAATTACCCACAAGCCATTTTCATCAACTGCCAAGTCAATATCAGTCTTTCCTCCCCATCGGTATGGAGAAGTGTCATGGTAATTAGCATAATTGATTATAGCCTCTCCACTCTTAATTCTAGTCCTCAAGTCAAATTTTACTATGTTCCTAGTTCTTTCCTTGTTAAAAAAGACAGCGCCGTCATACACTACAAATCCAGTACCATCCACTCGATTTGGGAGTTTATACGTCGTCTGCTGGCGTCCATTTTGGAAGTCCTCTAAAGAAGCATATTCTATCAAAGTATCAGTGCGATATGGAGTCCATGGCATGAAGTATATTTTATCTGCAGCCTGGAGAGGATCTTTGCACCAAGCACCTGCTTTTTGTTCAGCTTCATATAAATACGGTGAGTCCACAATTGCTTTCAACGTCCCCGGGCAAACAAAAACTAACAGTCACAGAGAGAAGTAAGACAAGAATTACGTCAAATTAAGACTGTCTTATAATAAAAAGAAAAAAAAAAAAAAGGAAAAAAAAAAGGTAGGTAAATCATAATGACTGTGTCAGGAAGAAAAAAAATCAATTTAATTGGCACTAGATTATACCTTATGTTATAATTAATGCAATTATCACCCTTTATCATCCACTTTTCTTAAAGTTACCATGTTCTTGCTGTACCAGTATGGAAAGTGGATGGGAACTGTTTTCACTAGTACAGACCAAGGCTCAATGGCATACACAGACAGCTGAAAATGTAGAGCTACTCTTGCATTTTCATCTTAGACTTTTAGTGAGTACGCATTAACGCTCCAGAGCTTTTAACTGGTGTGCAGCAGTGCGCTAGGTCATTTCAGTCCAAAAAAAAATCACATCAACTTGTTTAGAACTTTAAGAAGTGGTGAGGCTGAAAAAGGAGGTGCCTCGATTAAAAATAAAGGAACAAAACAAATCATCAGGTATATAGAGAAAGCAATTAGGAGCAGAGAAAACAAAACACAACCAAAGCAATGAATGAAACAGACCAGGAAACCCTGTAACCATGGCATGCTATGGAGAGGGTTCTGGAAGCCAGGCAAGATGACACTTGATTAACAAGAATTTACTCAAGGGTGAGAGAAAGAGAGGGAAAGAAAGACAAAGAGAAAGGGAGAGAAAAAAGCAAGGGAGTCTTCCCTCCAGCCCAAGTATTTCAGACACTATGCCCCGCCACCTACTTTAAGCAGCCAAGTCACTTTATTGCAAACAGTCGACTTCTTTATGAGGTGTACTTATGAGATCCTGCTGATTATCATAATATAAGAGTGTTGTGGGGAGGGGAAGGGAAGAGGTTAACATCCATAAGGCACATAACAAGGAGCTGGGGTTTGTGGACTGTATACGTTATTTACCTTTTTGCTCCACTTCTATTTTAAGCATCGGAAGAAAAATAAAAAAGTGCAAGGAAAAAAGAAAGAAGATTAACATAAATTGACTATTAATCTAAAGATTAAATTAGTAACAGACGCTAAATATAGGGAGAATAAGAACTGCACTATATTGGATAAAGAGAAACAGACAACAGGAAAACCTAGCAGGAGAGAGATTCTACGGTTACACAAGTGAACACGGATCAATCATTTTAGTAGATTAAGGAGGCAATACAGATATGCTGGCATGTAGTTTCACTTAGTGAACCTGAATAAATAATGAATTACTTTACTAATGCATGCTATACATACTCTTTTTCTTCTCAAAATATAATGCTATCAAGTTGGTTTTTAAGTGAGACATTAATTTATCATATATGTGCGAGTGCACATATATGTATTATATTAATTAGATAATATCAATCCAAACTGCAGTATATTAATTACATAGGTTTGTATGTGTGCTTATTGAACCTTCCCCCATCTTTGCCCCAGACATCCCTCTGCTTTTCTTTCTTGTAAAGAAAGCAGCTTGCATCCTTTAGCTCTCCTTAGGCTTTATTTTATTTGTTTTCCTGAATGTTAATCTTGAGAACTTTTGCCACTTCTCAGTCTATAACTGCAAAATCAGACTAGAAGGAATAAGCAAAAACATCTAGAAAAAAGAAGCAAAAGCACAGTAAGCAAGAGAAAAAGAGAAGAAAAAATTAACATTTAGCTCATTCAGATATTCTCCAGCATCATCGATTAAGCCCGAAACAGCAAGCTATAGTATGCAAGGATAGTCATACTAAGTGTTTAAAACAAATATCCATCACGCCACCGTACATGGAAAATATAAACCGAACCCAATTAACAAAGTTATATTACTACAGCAATTTTTCCCCGAGGAAGTTTTAAGGAACGTATTACAGGAAGACATATAGCTGAAGTCCAGCTAGTAAACAGCTTTCCAATAATTATTTGCAATAAAATCTATTTCATATACTCAGTAGCCTTTGAAGTATGCTCCCCTAGTTTCATAAAATGACCTGGAAAATGACAGATGTACCAATCCAAGTAACAATAGCTGCTGATACCAAGGAAGTGTATCAAAACTATTTGCACAGCTATTACATTTTCAGTATTACGGTATTATCCTGAAGAACGTATTTGTATGTTTCGTATAAAGTTTTGGATTTTCAGACTCATTTAACAAAACTACATATGATTATTCTGAGAGAATGGTAAAGGCTGAGCTGATCTAGTGCTTCTTCAGGGAACAATTCCAAAACTTTATGAGGGAATGGGAGGGGGTTAATATTCTCAAGATGAGCAGTAGTCCTCCTAGCCTTTGTTCATTTATACATCTTTAGGTAAAATACTTGTTTTTCTGCAATTTGTAATTCTTGAGTTATCTGAGCAAACAGAAGATGTATTCTGAGGTGAATTCCTGGGTTTCACAATCAGTGTTAATGGCTGTCAAATGATTTTGTTTGTGAACTTTTATGCATGAGTTTATTCCTTGCCAAAGAGCAATATTGATACTGTACCTGCTTAGAATTAGTAATAGGAGAGGGGGAAAAAGATAGGGATAACTAAAATCATTACTGGCATGTCTGCTCTGTGTGCATTGGTGTACAGCTGTACATTTTTCAGGGACAGATGGGCTTATTGAAATAAACAAATGCTGCGAAGTCCAATCAATACAGACAGAGAGAGAATAAAACGCTTTAAAACATTTTCTATTGAATTCCTGAGTCCAAAAAAGACTTAAAATAAAAATGCACAGATGTACAAAATGGTACTTTTGATGTTCTTCTTTATAAAAGGGCTGACTTCTGTTACTCAGTCAAAGTGTCAACATACACTGTGCAGCGTAATTGAGAGAAATGTCAAGTATGGTACTCTCAATTTCTTTGTAATTTAATCAATAACACTCTTCTTTAAGGACAAAGCAATGCCTATGAAATTTGTCTAGAATTTTAGTTTTGTTGGAAATCCAACTGAATATCTCAATATATATATTTTTTTGTCTACACCTTGAGATGCAAAAAAGGAATTTTTCATTAAATACTTTCTTGTAATAATGAAGCTTGTACTTGATGAATACAGAACCGAGAGAAAGCTCAATCAGTATGTATGATCAGCAAAGCAGCTATGTATTTCTGGAGGCCAGCAAGACATAGAGGAGCTCATAAACTGCGTTTTGTACAAGGGTGACACCAACTCCAGTCTGTAAGAACTCTCAGCTTTTCCCACAAAATCTGGTATGATTGCTGTTTGTAATCTCTCACGTACTGAAAGGTGCCACAGTGAGATATTGCAAATTTTGCAGTCTAGCAGTAACTGAAGATGAAGTTAAGGAAAAGTAAGAACCCTAACTAAACAATGGTTAGAAGTGCTGTGATCCCTAAAAACCTCCCTTCCTAGACCCACAAAAGCCTATCCCACCTTCCTAAGAAGTCTTATGCTGGGACAGCTGCTATTTGCAAACCCAATGATTTCAGTCTTTCCGTACGTTTAGATATGAAGCACTGGAACAAGTAAAGGAGAAAAAAAATTAGACTTGATAACTGGAGTTTATCAGGTGACAAAAAAAAAAAAGACTTGGAAATATACCAGGATAGGCTTTGTGGGACAGGGAAGAAAGATGGTCAACAATCAAAATGGTTACTGAAGCACATTTTGATTTGAAATAAAACTTCAAAACTGATTTTTGTAACTGGCAACCTTTTTGATGACTGCTGGTACTGACTGGTTATGCCTCTTACAGTTGTGGAATTGGGCACAGTGTCACCATTGTACACGCTGCAGATGACAAACTCCAAAACTTACAGACTTTGAAGGACAAGAAGTATCTAGAATACCGAATTATGATAGACACAGAATTACATAATTGAAAAGGTAGGCCAATACAATTGACAGTAAACAAAAATAAACACTTTAAAAGTAGAATAACTACACGTTAGAGTACAGGGTAGGCTGCGCTGTGGCACTATCCTTCTGAAAACTGGAAAAGAAAGATTCCTGTAGATAGCAATACCCAATCGGTAGAATATATCCACACTTCTCTTCCTAAAACAGCATAAAAAATTGTTTGAACATTATTTGCATGACACTTTTTTCCTATGAACTAGCCTACTGGAACTGGAAACGTAACCTCTTGTCATTTGACTGACCTCATGGTTTGGAATCAGATGCACTGCCCTCTTTCTGAGAATTTGGGAATGAAAATAGCGCTAAAGTAGAAGTGATCTTTGTGGAACAAAACTTTGGTTAGAATGGGGTAAGACATCACTCCTCAAAAGTGGCAGGAGAAGAACAGTTACAACAAGCCACCGATACTACACACAGGAATGGTACTAGGGATCACTCTATGCAGTAGGCTTCCAATCCTACAAATGGTACGGAAAAAAAAAAAAAAAATCAGCAAGCAACCATTTCACAATGACATAGCAGAAATGAAGAAAAAACAGATGATCTGTGTTTGGCCTTTAACAACAGTGAAGGTTCAAAGTGGTGAAGCAGTACAGAGGTACAGAGTAGTATTTTGGTTTAAGAAGTCTAAATTTTAAAATCATGCAGGAAACAGTATGGACAGTTTTGACATAGCTTTGCTTATGCCAGAACTCATTTCCTTCCTTTTTGGATATATACTGTCACCACAGTGTTTTTGCATCTCAGACTTGGCCTGTTTCCTGTACCAACAGAAAATGTGACTTTGGTTAAGGATTACTGCAGATCAAGAAATTCACGCTTAACAATAACTTAAGGGAATGATCAGTACATTGCTCAAATTCCATTGCAAACACATCTATTTCTCTGTTGAGTTACAGGACGAGGGAGAAATCACTGCAAAGAATGACCTTACAAGAAAGCAAAAGCAGTTAAAAGTGTCGGATCTGGAGAACTTTTATAAACATGCATACATGTCAGTGAAAAAAAAGCATCAATTATTGCAGGGAAAGAAGTATGGCTAATGCTACTGAATTCTGGCATTAGAAAGAATATTGTACAAAACTGCTGAAGTAGCCATGACTTCAGATTGTTCTATCTCAAAATGATTTCAGTATTTACTTTGTTTTCAGGGAAAAATTCTGTTTTGGCAGCTGATTCAAGGCACAATTCCTATTTTCTCTTTACATAAAAAGTGAACATTTCTTTCTCACTCTTTCCCCCATTGCTTTTAAGAACCAAGTTTGAGTAACTTATTGATGAATTATTCACTCGGAATCTGTGTTCACTTATAATGCGCCCCTGAAGCACAATGTCCTCTTACAATGTTCCTGAACTGGGGCATTTGCCTCTGAGTGTCAGTGTTGGGTTTTGCTGTGCACCCAAAGTCATCACAACAGCAGGTAGCCTTTCAAGTAGATCATGTTTAAAATTGAAGTCAATTCCTGCTTTAGAAGTCTGTGAGCCAAGCCAATTTGTCAGCAACTGGTAGCGGGCAAAAGTACAAATTTCTATCTGGCCTATTGAATAGCTAATTTGAGTTTGTTTTCTGGAAAAACAGTAGCCTTAAAAGCCAAACACTTAAGAACACAGACAGACACTTGGCCAGCATCACACCATGGCTTCCTTCCACACTTCGTGAAGCTAATTGGAGGCCCTAGTCTGCAAGTGCTCTGCATGCATAATGGGTCCGTGGGCCATAAACATATGCTTCTTTTCCATGTAACAGCTCTCCAGCTTTAATTGTGAGGGCCAGAGGAAGTGAGCAAGAATAAAAAGATTATACTTACTGTAAGGAACACATTCATACTGAACTTCTAGGTATTTGTATGTTCCAGGACAAGGATCAGGAAACACATCTGACCCAGTAACTACTATACACTGTGTTCGGTTGTTGCACCTGTAATTGGAAAAGAAAGCCAGCTAATTAATTTAAAATTACATTTAATTTGCAAGTTCATACTAAAGCACTATATGCAGTGCTAACTCTCTTCACACTTGGGCATTCCAATCCAGAAGACAACAAAGTTAATTACTAGATCAGTCAAAGTCCATAAATAAGACTTTAAGACAATATTACAGTTCAAGCTTTATACTTTTAAATTTGGAGATAGATGTTATCTCAAATGTCACTCATTCCCACAGGTAGAGATAGTGTCCGAAATATATACTGATTTGATTCTACTGTTCAATAAAATCAACGTAAAATACAAAGATGATAATAAATGAAAAAATGTGTAATTTTGAACACAAATGAACAATTCTTTTCACCTTTGGAGATATACATACTGCTGAATAGTTTCACATCTCAGAGGGATTACTGTCATGATTCAAGGAAATTATTTTGGTTGGAAGAGTTATTGTAGACAAAAAGGATTAGCATTTCCATTTTAATTACTTTAGGAGCAATTGGTGGACTCTAAGCTTCCTCTGTTAGGTTACAGGAAGAGGTAAAGAATGACCATCTGAGAAAATAAAACAGTCAAAAAGAAGAACTGAAAGAAAATTAATTATAATGTATTTTAGAGGAGACTAAATACTGAAACATATCTATGATTTGTTTAACAATGGAAACCAATGCATTTTGATACAAAGATATTATAATGCCTCTAACCATGAGAGTCTACTGAAATTAATGTTTTTTATTAAAAAATATATATATATATTTTAGACTAATATTAATTTTTTTTTTTAAAAAAAAAGCCCAACAATTAGCTTGGAAGTTAAAAGTGCAAAAACAATCACCTAACTCTAAAGAGATGGTCAAAATGTAATAAAGGAAAAAAAAAGTCATAAGGAAGTGAAACAAAAAAAAGAGGAGATCAGGGAGTTTGGTGACTAAAAGAAAAAAAGCTTGGCTTATCTTCTCAGGGGTTAGTTTTGTTTGTCAGCAAACTCAGTAACAGAAGTCTGAACTTAAGTAATAGTCTAGCCTTTGACTCCAGCTGTACATCAACTTCCCTACTGCCCTACTACATCCCACACTCCCTGAATACCACATCCCAAGCTAAAATAATCTATCTTGTATCAGCGGCTTTCCACAGCTGTACATTGCCAACAGGTATAAAATAATTCACGCTACCTCATAAATGGTAGAGCAAGCACATTTGAAGAATGCTGATATAAATCACTTTTCTTTTTATATACTAATCAAACTAGCACAGAGCTGGTCAGGACATGCTGTGCCTCTTGCTGAGCAAAACTCGGGAACAACAACTCTTCTGACTTTATCAGTTAATTCTTTTCTTTTTCCTTTTTGCTTTGCTTAAAGCCTCTTATTTTTAGCCTCACAGGCCTCCTAATTGCAGAACTAATTGGAAATAGCCAGGGATTTCTGTATATACGCACAATCAGGGATACAGAAAGATGGTGAAGAATTCACCTGTGACCTCTGTGCTGCCTGTGGCAGTGACTTTCCAGCCAGCAGAGGCAGGTCCCGTGTGCAGGTATTGCACAGGTAACGCCGCACCACTCCCATCAGCTCTGCCATTCAGTGCAGCAGCTCACCCAGTGCTGTCAGAGTCTGGAACGAGTATGGTGCATCCAATGGCTTTCGGACCCACGCTGAATTGTGCACTGAACTTGCAGAGAAAATCACTGTACTGAATCTGTAACACTGAAAACGTACAATACAGCCACTTCTTTGTACTCACACGAAGGTCAAAGTGGTGCTCTCGTGTGTGCTGTGTAGGAGGAAGCTGTAGAAACAGAAGGTGGCAATCTGGCCCAAAAACTCACAGACCTCTCTTTTTGAAACCCTGTACAGGGTTTTTTATGGCACATACCTCAGACCAGACTAACCAGCATGAGAAAAACTCAGATGTAAGATTTTGCAATTAATTTCTTTATATTTTTTTCTGATTCTTTAGTGAAAACCTTGTGCTGAAGCCAAAATAATTCCTATAAAAAAACCTAGTGCATCACTCAGTATAAGGGTTTCCATAGCTTTGAGCTGTATGAAAATTTCATTTTACACTTGAATGAGTGGCAATTAAGAGAAAAATATTGATTTATTACCAAATAAAATGGATACATATTGGGAGAAATTGCTTGAGAATGAAACTGATGAAGGTCATATCAAGCTATGGGGGAAAAAACTTCTACTAGCAGTATTTGTAAATCTTAGGAAAAAGATGGAGTCTTGTTTCCCTATGAAAAGTTGATTTCTTCTCTTTCCATTTTCCCCCAGTGAAAGACTCATAATGTTGCCATCAGTCAGGAAACTGAAAGCAACTTCATGCTAGCTTGTATCAAAAGGATGTATAATAATAATTCAGAAGCAAATGCAGCATTTTTTTCTTTGTACAGTAAGTGCCAGTGTCAAACTTCAGACACAAAATGGTGTTTACAGGATAAAAACTTTTTACTTTTTCTTCATGCAAGATTTCACCCACTGTGCATATAGTCACCTTTTGCTCATCTTTGGCCAAAATGGAAGAGACCTCAATTCCAAAACAATGAGCTACGCCCATTGCTGCAATACACAGCAGTGCTACAAAGCACACCATCACCTCTTCAAGAAGTGCAATTACTTGGATAACTAAATGGATAGAAGGATTTATGCTTTAAATTGTAGGTTTTTACATTCAAATCACTGATTTTGCTGCATTACTGGTTGCATTTTATAAAACCTGAGTAATTTTCATATAAGATTATGATTTTTATCCACTTCTAAGATTTCAAAGTAAAGACACTTAAGATATTCACATTTGAAAAAGTCAACATTCAGGTAATTTTTTGTTACATAGTTATTGGTCATATTTCAATTCCAGTGAAAACTTCAAAAAAACCCAACAGCAACTACAGCAGCTGTCAATCCTAATTCATGGGCTACAGACGAGATGAAGAGTAAGTGGACTTCGTAGAGGTAGTTCTGAGACAAGTAATTCAGGGGATTTACACTACTGTGATTTGTTCTCCGCATAAATGAAAGTCTTCTGTCTGCTGCATCGTTTTTTTCCCCTGCAAACCCAAGGATACTAACTTCTCTATTAGTTAGAGAACAGTTCTGCGGATGCCTTCAAAGACCATTTTACAAACTGATAAAGGTCTCAGTTGAGCTTCTTTAAGACACAAAGCACTGAATTCTGTGGTATATTGACACAAGATACTCCACTCTCCATAAAATAGCATTAAACAGCAGATTATCCTACATGGCTACAAATTACTGAAGCTACCATATCACTGCCATAGCAGAGCTTCATAGTTTTGAGAAATCTTTACACTTAGAAACACTATGCCCAAAGAAGAAGATATTACACTGTTACAGCCTTCAACTCAATCCTGTAACCCATTTTCATACCTTTCTGTAATGGCAAGCCCTTTCTGAGTGCAGCCACTTTATGGGATTCTCCAAAACAAGACTACTGTGGAAATCAAGTTCCTGGCAATTTGAAAAACTGGCCTAGACACCATCAGGAAAAAAATAAATCCAAACCTCAAAAACCTTAACTGGTAAATAACTTGAAGTCCCTTAATTATTTTAACCAACCTTATTTTTTCTACACGAATATACTGTTAGTTCCATCTATTCAAACTGTTCTACAGGTGTTCCAATGAAGGCATGATGCAAACCAGCCCTAATTTCTGCAAATTGAAGAAGTCAAATCACTAATACTTTAGTGTTTCAGTGTCTGTAACACAGTGTTTAAGTTTTCTGCATGTTTTAAGTACCATTTAAGTGTTCTGTAATCTACTTAACTACATACTTCTCTAGCATATGTTAAAATACGCAAATTCTCAGGTTTTTATGTACAATCTTAAAATTCATATGATCTCACGCTGAGAAATGTCTTCACGCTTAAGACATTCACAGTATTCACAAAGATTTATGATACAATGTCTTTGTCATTTACAAGGAAATAAAGCAGATCTGCAAAGAACTCTATATAAATCAGTAACAGTTGATTTAAGAAAGGTAATACATTAATTAAATCTGAAACTCTAGTTAGGAAAAGACTAACTGAAGGAATGATAATTCAGGTTCCTGTGCTAGCAGTGGCAAGAGTTTTGCAAGGGGAAATGTAGTTAGTATCAGTATTCTCACGAATGCAAGGAGCAATTGTGTGCTCTAACACTAATTTCTTCAGTATTTTAGTATGAATGAAGAAAGGTTACATTTTCATAATGCAGATGCATCACTTAGAGTAATCTAAAAATCAAATGGAGTGTTTAATTAACAGTTATAGTACAATGTCTGAACTCCTTTCACCTCAGGAAGAAGACTGTGCAAATGAGGAATGGCCCTTTCACATTTCAGATGAATACAGAAAAAAAGAAAAGTAAAGCAGCTCCAGCAGGGCTGTTAGCAAGTATCTACTGCTCATGGTGTAGCCATGTCCCTGCTGCATCCATCCCCTTCAGTGCTCGGCTTTAAGGACAGCTTACTTTCCATGATAATTTGTTTGCATTTCAACTCTAATCTTGACTTGTACAATTCCCAACAAATTGCTTTTGCTCTTTTTTATTATCTTTCGCTCATTATTGCACGTTTCCACGTGCAATGTATGGAGATGAGATTCCATGTGCAATCTATTGTGTGAGGTGTTTTAATCAATAATCTTGTTCTGCTGATTAAGCAGGGGCTTCTGTTTTGGCAAGATAACATTAGTTTCTCCTGTCATGCTCCAAAAGCTATTGGGAATCTTCAGCAGATCATTAGATATGCTACAATAAAGCTTTGGTACATTCTCTTTTCTTTCTTAAATTACTTCTTCACTGTCCTATCATTCCCCGTCACCACTGGCACTGCATTATTATTACAGCTCCCCTGAAACTTGCACTAGAGCTATGTCTCCAGGCCATAGGATGCCATTTTCAATTGAAGCTTCTGCTTGAAAATATAAATTAAGAAAATTTCATTATCTCCTGCCAAGGGCCATTATTCACCAGTGTTCTAAG